TTTGTGATATATGTATGTGCTCGTGTGAGTGTGAACATGTATATCGAGGTCAGAGGTTAACATTGGGTAGCCTCCTCTAACACTGTCTAGTTCTCTCTGAACCCTGGGCTCATCATCAATTCAGCCAGCCAATGAACTCAAGGAATCTACCCACCTCTACCATGCCACTCAGTGCTGGAGTTGCGGATATATGCCAGCGTGCCCAGCTTTGGCCTGGGTACCAGGGATCTGAACTTAGGTCCTGATTCTTGCACAGCAATTACTTACCTACTGAGCCATTTCTCCAACCTCATCCTGAGTGTTTCCTAAGCCTGCTTTTCTTCTGTGCTGTGTGGTTTCCACCTCCCCACCCCCATACGTCCCTCTTCTGACTGGGGAAGGTCTGTTTGCTGTTGAAAACTCTGATGACTGCAAGGTCAGCAGATAAGCAGAGACGTAGCTAGATGGGAACCTTGGTGGTCACACGGGGGAGCCATAGAAGAGATGGGCCACTGAAGGGAAGGTCATGGAAGAGAAAGGTGATAAGAAGGTGGAGATCACGAAAAGCAGAGGTTACAGAAAAATAGAGGTCATGGAAGGAAGTGACCATCCAAGGAAGAGGTGATGGAAGGGAGAGGTCACTAAAATGAGATGCCCTGGAAGGAAGATGTCGTGGAAGAGAGAAGTTATGGGAGAGATAGGTCCCTAAGGACAGAGGTCACAGGGAGGGTGTCGTCAGGTCAGCAGCAATTCTAGCCGGAGAGAGAGGAGACACAGGTGTCACCCGTCTGTCGTCATCACCATTTTTTTTTTAATAGAGTCTTATTTTGTAGCTGTGGTAGTTATGAATAAGGATGGCTCTAGGGCTGGAGAGATGGTTCCGCAGTTGAGAGCACTGACTGCTCTTTCAGAGGACCTGGGTTCAATTCCCAGCACCCACAAGGTAGCTGACAACTGTCTGAAACGCCAAGATCTGACACTCTCACACAGACACACACATGCAGGCAAAACACCAATGCACATAAAATAAACATAAAATTGTAATACAGCATGTCTCTCTCTTCCTGCTGCCTGCAGGTAGGGTGTAAACTCAGATTCCTCTCCGGCACTATGTCTGCCTCGTACCTCCCTGCTCCCTGCCGTGATGACAATGGACTAACCCTCTGCAATGTAAGCAGGCCCCATTAAACACTTGCTTTTATACGGGTTGCCTTGGTCCCAGTGTCTCTTCACAGAAACAGAACACCGACTACGACATGAGGCCAGGTTGGCCTTGAATTTGTGATCCTCCTGAGGGTTGGTTCACCGTACTTATCTCGTAGCTGACCCAGGCTTGATGTTGACATGGATTAAAAGGCAGATTACTGCTAGGGACACAGTATCTGGTGCTTTCCCACGGGGCTACCCTAGTGGGAGTCCCCGCGTGAGGCACCTTCTGAATATCATCAGAGACCCACTAACTGTCCAACAAATACATCCAGTAACTGGGATCGGAGAGAGAGCACACCTTCCTTCCCCCTTCAGAAGTTTCTCTCCGGGTACCCACTACAGAACAAAGCCCTCCCACTCTAGAACTCAGCACTCATGCTTTTGAAATTACAAATCTCATTCATTTTTATCAAGATCTTAAAATAGGGTAATGGAGTTACACCAACGAATAGCCTAGTACAAAGGGGGGGGGGCAAGGCAGACGGCCAGTCCCTTCACACTGGCTTGGCTCATTTTGAGAAATAAAAGTAATTATCACCTGTGCAACCCAGCCGGCCTGCTCTGTACGTGGGGGAAGAAAACAATTTCAGAACTTTATTTCCTATATTGAATGTCGATAATTGGATGTATTTATAAGTCTCGCTGGAAGAAAGCAGCTTGTGATTTCAAGATGAGAAAACAGTCTTCCAAAGACTGAAAAACAATATATTCCCCATTTTCACACACACAAAAAGAGCTTGTTCCTTCGAGGTGTTGAAGGGGCTGCTGAAATGATTTGCTTTTCTGAAGCCACCGTTCCATTTCTCATCTTGAATTGCCTCGCAGACCCCGGCAAAGCACCCAGCAGAGACCACTTCATCTGACGCAGTGACGCGGGCTTCATGAGGAAGGCCCCTTGGCTGCTGCCTGCCTTTTTTTTCTGCAGGAAGATGGATGCCCGGATGAACTGGGCCAGGGAAAGGGGGCAAGAGGAACAGGGCGTGATGGAGGGCCTTCCTGGGGCTGGCTCTGGAAGCCACGCTGGCCTTAGAAGTATGAAGCAAGGTTGGCCCAGCCTTTAGCACCACGACAGAATAGGTACCTACGTGTGTGCTACGGTTTGAAGAAATGTTGCCTACAGCCCTGTGTCTGAACATTTGGTCCCCAGCTAGTGGTGCTATTTTAGGAGAGTGCCGAAACTTTGGACCGTGCCCTAGTTCACAGAAGCAGGTCTCTGGGAGGAAAACTTTGAAGGTGATAGTGCTTCTAGTTCTGGCTTGAGTTTTCTGCTTCCTGACCCACTAAGATGTGAGGAGCTGCCACCCCATGCCCCTGCTGCTGTGGATAGAGCTGCCCTCCAGTCACACGCTCCCTGCCATGATGGACTATGGCTCCTCATTCTAGTTTTGTTTCTGATGCTGTGACAGAAAGCAACTTGGGGGAGAAGGGGACTTATTTGTGCTACTGATTCCAGGTTGCAATCCGTTGCTTTTGGGGAAGTCAAGCCAGGAATGTCACACAGCTCGTCACCACATTCGCAGTCAAGAGCAGAGAGACATGAACGTGTGCATACTCGCTTGTTTGCTTATTGTGCCCGGGGCCTCTATCTCTACCCAAATAGTTCAGGACGGCCTGTCTAGGGAATGGAGCTGCCGACAGTGGGCGGGGCTTTCCCACATCAATAGACTTAATTCAGACAATCCCTCTCCCCCCACACAATTCAATGTAAACAGTCCCTCCCTGAGACTGTCCAAGTGATTCTGGGTTGTGTCAAGTTGGCAGCTCAAGCTAACCATCACTGCCTCAGAAGACATGGGCCCAGATTAACCGTTCTCCCGTTTGCCTGTTCCTGTCAGGTTTGGCGCCACAGCAAGGAGTAAGGAGTAATGTATCATGTCCCGTCTGTCACACACTTTCCTGTCCCACCTGGGAGAGCTGAGGCTGGAGTATATCCTCCTGTCCCCTATCTGTCACACAGATCCCACGTTGATTGATTGAATCAATGTGAGTCAGGCACCCACGGGGTCAGCAGTGTCCATGGAGCTGTGGGGGACTGATGGCTTAGGCAGAGGGGATGAGCAGGGCTGGGCAAGTTGGTCCACCACAGTACCACAGGGAGAAAGGAGGACCTTGCCCAGGATGGAGCTCCTGAAGGTGTGCACCGGCCACCGGGCTAATAAAGCAGCCAGCTACAGGCCATTTCTCGGCCAGACCTTGTCTCCAAGGACCCCATGACCTCAGACGTGATGCGGCACAGGGTGAGGTGTGAGAGCTCTGCCTGGCGCACTTCCTCAGCTGATTTACACACTCCCACGCTGACTCTAAAATCAATCTTTCCCCAATCGCCTCCTGGCTCCCAGCAGTGTCCCTGTCTGTCCTGCATGAGTAACTCCAAAATGTTCTCCCGCACCCTGAGCCACTTCCAGAGTCCCTGCCAGCGCCTCTGCTGGGCAGGAGCGGGGGAGGGAAGGTTCTGCCACAGCCTTTGATGGGGAGTCGCCATAGGCGGCAGGGGGCGCCCTGTCGAGCAGTGAGGGATCTGGTAAGGCTTGCTGGAAGGGTTCTTGAGCAAGAGTGGGGGAGGGACAGTCCTGTTGGAGAGGCGGGGAGTGTCTATCACTTGAAACGACTGCCAGAGCGGACCCCGTGTGGAGGTCCACTGTCCGGATGGGCCTGGGTGGGCAGGAGCCGTGGGTAGTACTTCCCTGTTACAGCCATAAAGAGAGCGCTCCTTTCAGTGGTTGGGTATTCTCTGCCGCTCTTTTGTAAATATTTAGGATAATTACTTCCTTTACACATTAATAAGCATTAAGCTGGCAGTTGGCTTAATTTCGACATATTTTATGTCAAAAGAAGCGAGGTTGTGATTAGCTGGGGGCAGATTTTCCTACTACAAACTGACACGCATAGCTCTCTGCTCATCCTTTGCTATTTTTAAAAAGTGTCCTTTATTAGGGAGTCGAGACTCTTTAGCTTAAGAGGGAGCTAATACACGTGTGCCTGTGTGTATGCTCTCGCACGTGTGTGTGTGTGTGTGTGTGTGTGTGTTTCCAAGTTCTCAAGGACATGTGAACCTGTGTGAGCTCAGGCTTGTTACTTACCCTTCTGGGCCTCAGTCTCCTGGTCTGTAAAATGGCTCTGAGGCAGTACCTACCTACCTCAGGGGCTTTTGTGAGACCTCTGTGAGCAGTAAATCTGCAAGGATTTGAACCAGTGCCTGTAAGTGCTTGGGACCTGTTGACAGTACAGAGGGCAACATCTGCCTTCTGATGTAGGATTCTACAACAGGTGTAATCTGTTCTCTTTAGGACTCTGCCCTAACTCGGGGGCCGGCTCTGCTGGCTTCTCCCTACCCCTCACCCCCATCTTTTCCTTCTTCAGCTCCTCCACTCCGCAGTTGAGGAGGCTTGGACAAGATGTAACTCCCCTGCATGTCACGCTTATCTCTCCGGCCAGAGCCTCTCTCCCCATACTCCTTTCTTGGATGCCGAAGGCTCCTGTTATTTCAGTTGCCCCAGCTCTCTGCCATCCTTGGCCCTCCTCCCCACGGTTTCTTAATTCCTGTTTGTTCTTCCCGCGGGTGGGCTGCCACAACATAACGTCGGGGGCTGACCAGTCTTAGGACACTTCCTCCGACGAGGGAAAGCCTGGCGGTGGCTGGTTAGGACTCTCCTGACTCCTTGCCCCAGCCTGAGTTCTTCCGCGCAGACCCTTACCCTTCCGGGGCTCCGCCTCTTCTGGGTGTGCGGGCGGGAGCCGGCGGGGGAGGGACCGGGGCCGCTGGCCCCGCCCCACGCTCACTTAAACCCCGCCCCTGGCCCCGCCCCGCCCTCCTGGTCGGGACCCGGGCAGGTTCAGCTGACGCCGCACTCCACGTGACGCTCGCACCGAGTGAACATGGCTTCCACCGCACGGTGAGTGCTGAGTTTGCCCCTCGCTCCTGCCCGCGGGCGTGTAGAGGTGGCCCGTCTCGGTGTTCCGGGACGGACGGTGGGCGACAGGCTGGGGTTGCTGTGTGGCCGCGGGCCGCGCACCGCGCGCTTCTCGCGGGCACCGAAACCCAGCTCCGGGCGAGTGGTACCCGTAGTGTCCCTGCACGCTTGCGGGCGCCCGCAGGCCTTGGGGGCTGCTGCTCTGGAGCCCAGCGTGTGGCGGCCTCGCCGTACGAGGCAGAGATAAGAGCTTGACAAACCTGTTCACTGCCACGCCCCTCCGATGGGGTGGGCTCCAGGCGCTTCCCCTAGAGTGCGGGTAGTGTTTGGAGTGGGCGTGGAATCCCGGTTTCTCCGGCCATCCCTTCCCCGATTCTTTCCTGGCCGAAATGTTAGCTCCTCCAAGACACCTTCCCCTAAACCCTGATCAAGTCTGTAATGCCTGGTTTTCTATATGCCTGTTGTCTTTTCTCTCATCTCCAATGCAGGCGTCATGCTGGGCCTCCCTAGCCCAGAGCCTTGCTCGGTTTGGGCCTGCCATAACTCTGTAGAATTAAAAAAAAAAGGGGGGGGGTCGATGTTCCTGTTGGTAGAAGTGAGGGCAGATGGGCCCACTCAGTTTTAGGGAGGGACAGTCATCTTAGGGAGATTAGAGGGCACCTCTGAGCTAGTAGGTGTGACCTCTCCAGACTTTGTCCTGGAGGAGCAGGAAGCATTATCACAAGCTGGCTTTGAACTCCCTTTGCATTGCCCTTCAGAGTGCTGGCATTACAAACACATGGTACTACTTGGGATCTGCATTTTGTTTGTTTTGTTTTTTGCTTGTTGAGACAGGGTTTCTCTGTGCAGCCCTGGCTGCCCTAAAATTCATTCTGTAGATTGGCTGATCTCGAACTCACAGAGATCTGTCTGCCTCTGCCTCTCCAGTGCTGGGATAAAGGCATGCGCCGCCACTGCCTGGCACGATCTGCTTCTTAAAGAGCCTGATAGCTTGAGCTGTGATTTCAGTGGGAGAGGGTGTCGACCTAGTGGTACAGGGTGTTAGGAAGGGTAGGGGTAGAAAGGGCACCTCTCCACATAGAGGGTTGGGGACTGAGATACCTTTGGGGAAACTAGTGGACCAAATGCATCTCTCTGGATAAGATGAGGGAGATGGCAACACAGTGGCATCTTAGATGGCTTCCAGGGTTGAGAAAGCTTTGAATGTAGCAGTCATTTAGTGGGTGCCTGCTGTTTTCTAGGAACAATACTGGGCCATTAATGCTAATGGACATGTGAGATTCTGTTATCTAACTCTCTGCCTCTGATCTTAGTCTGTGCATGGGCTCTAGGGTCAGGGATGGTCTTTGTGCTAGGTGATCTTTGGGGTGAACTTTAAACAGTGAGACACACTCAGGGTGGAGAACTATGCAGACAAAGTCCCGGTAGGTGTTCAGGATGCCAGGACCAGAACTTTGAGTCTGTCCTTTGACCCTCTGTTAAGAAGTACAGTGAATAATAAATATGGGCAAGTATCTGTCTGTGGGGTCTCATCTGTCCGTCTGGACTGGCCAGGTGGCCACAGGCAGTTCCAGCAGCTGCATTTGAGTTTGAGGTTTCGGGCTGGCCCAAAGCTGTTTCTTTCTGGAAGATTCCTGGGCTGGGATAGAAACTGGCCAGATCTTCAGAGGAAGCTTCTTGTAGCCGAGTAGATTCTCTGGGGTCATCCGACAAGACAGTTGAAATGGTGACCCAGATTTTGGGGATGTGTAGTTATTGGGAAACATAAGAGATGTGGGGGAGTTTCCACAGTTGGCCGGGGCTTCCTTCGGGAGAACCATCTGAGAATGGTTGTAGAGCTGTCTTCAGAAATGCTGAGCTGGGTGGATGTCCCTTAGAAAGCTTGGCTCTCCCTGCCACATCCACATGATAGGCCAGCATGTCCCTGGTCTCCTCTCTTTTGGAAGTGCCGCGGTTGTAACCCAGGACTCGCTTGTGCCAGGTGTTCTACCACTAACCTATAGTCCCAGCATTTTTTCTTTTAATTTAGTTTTTGAGATAGGGACTTGGTCTGTGTAGGCCCGGAGCTTCTGATCCTCCTGCATACTCCTCCAGAGTACTGGGGTTATAGGCGAACGCCATCATGCCCAGTTAAGAGTGTCAGATTTAATGTTCCTCGGCTCATAGCCACGGGCTTCCAGTGTGTCAGAGTTGGTTTCCTACGGAGCTCTAGTAAAGCCTGGGCACAGGAGGCTCACGAGAACCTCAGGTGTACCCATGTGAGTTGGGGAGCAGTAGAACCCCTAAGTAGCATCTCAGATTTGGTGAGAAACTTCTCTAATTCTGTGCGCTGGTAGGAGGAAGCCCTGCTTTCTGTGTTTGCTGCTCTGTGTTCCCTTTGTCCTGGGACCTGCTCACCTGATGGCCCTGGGGTACTGTTGTCTTCTACCATGATTGTTCACAGATTTGCAGGTCCAGCCCACAAACAGGCCTCCCATTGAAAGGTTCCTGTTCAGAATTCCAGAGAATTGCAATGTGTTAGCGGCACACATCTTCACATCTGCCCATCACGAGTAACTGTCTCAACTTTCTGTCACTGCTTTCCTGGCATCCTTGGGGCCCAGGACAACTTTGGTTTTTATCCCTGGGGCCATGGGATATTTACCCTATGAATTATTCCTGAATCCTGTCTTCCTGGGAGACAGCAATGGCCAAGGAGTGGGACTTATGGGTAGGAAGGGGGACAGGATCCCAAAGAGTAGGATGAACAGTGGTCTTTCATTCTTCATCCAGGACCAAAAGCTCAGCCAGCAAGGGGCATCATCACATCAGCAGTCGCTGGCTGTATATGATGAGCTACTTGCCATGCTGGAGTAAGCATTCTAGGCAGACAGTGTTGGGAGGAATTAGGGTCTTGATAAATGCTGTCACACACACCCTTATGTGAACCTTGTGCAAAGTCCTCATGCTGACGCTGCAAAGCTGGCAAGTCTGTGGGTGCCAGGCAGGCCCAGGTGCCCTTTGCCCTCTCTGGTTCTTCTCTAGGCCTAATCCTCCCTCTGTTCAGTCCTCCCTTTCTGTCCCTACAGGTGTGTGCTTGTTCTCCAATCCTTCTCAGGGGAGAGGGAAGCGGCTGTGGGGTACCTGCCTCCTGCCTAAGCCCCCTCAATGCCTGGTCATGCTTGTCTGGCCTGTCTTTCTCTGGAAGCTTACGCATGTGGCTCTATCCAGAAGTGGCTTCACATGGTAGCACGGAAATCTTGTTGTAGTCTGTGCAATGGAGCTTGTGTTAGTGAAACCTATATGCTTGTCTGCGTCTGCTTTCTGCTGCTATACCTCAATGCCTGAGGCTGGCACCTTATAAAGAAAATAATCTTATTTTGCTCACAGTTCTGGAAACTATATCAGCTAACTATACCTGGTGAGACCCTCACCTGATGTTAGAAATTGGTGGCTGACATCCAGTGGAAGGCATACATGTGAAAGGGACAGCTGACCTCACTTTTTGACAACTCTCTGTCTCAGTAACGCTAACAGTCCCATGAGACCTAACTCATTTCCTTGAGAATTAACGAATTAATTAATTAGCGTGAATACTGGTCACCTCCCAGCAAGCCCAGACCTTTTTAAAAGTCCGTGACTACTATTACACTGAAGACCAATCCTCTGCATGAGGACCTTAGGAACAGACCAAAGCAACATCCTTCTTTAATGCCATTTATCTATTAGCTGGATATATCCAAAGGATCTGAGTTGTGTAGCCCAAGCTGGCCTCTGAGTCTCATTCCTCTTGTCTCAGCCTCCCAAGTGCTGGGACGCCACCATGCCCAGCTGGGTGCAGTATTTTAAAATGCATTAAATAAGTAGAAGACTACAAGGAAAACCAATTATGTGGAAATGTACCTATCACATTGTTAAAGGAATTCGTGATGTGGTCCTATGTGTTTGTAGTAAAACATGAGATAAGAAGAGCCTGGATGGAGCAGGTCTAACGGGCACCTTGATTTTGAAGTCCTGATAAACAAGGGCGGCATTTTGAGAAAGTGTTGTGATGCTGTGAAGTGAATGTACCTATGAGTTCTGCGGGTGGCAGATTCCCAGGCATTACTGATACTCAGTGGTCATTTGCTTACGACTATAACTGAATAATGCATAAGTCTGAGTGATAAGTTAGAGAAAACTAAAGAGTGGTTTTTCATCAAGAAGATGAGAGGTTGATATTCTATGCATGACTCTCAGTGGGCCCAGAAACCAGCAGGTGGCCACTGAGGGCAACAGAGAAGGTTGTGGTGCTGGCTAGTTCTATCTCAGCTTGACACAAGTTAAGAATCTTTTTGGAAGAGGGAACCTCAGTAGAGAAAATGTCCCCAACAGATTTGCCTGTGGGCAAGCCTGTGGTCCATTTTCTTGATTGATGCAGGAGGGCCCAGCTCACTGTGGGTGGTTCCATCCCTGAGCTGGTGCTCCTCCTGGATTCTATAAGAAAGGCTGAGCAAGCCATGGGGGGTAAGCCAGTAAGCAGCGCCCCCTTCATGGCCTCTGCATCAGCTCCCGCCTCCAGGTTCCTGCCTTGACTTCTTTGGATGATGGAGACTGTGATTCGGAAATAAATAAACTCTTTCCTCCCCAAGTTGCTTATGGTCATGTGGTGTTTATCAGAGCCACAGAAGCCTTGAGACAGTGGTGCAGGGAGTTTGGGACAAGGATGGGCTGCAGGGGCTATAGCACTGTGCCCTGGCTGGGGCCTGGCTCTGTTATTGTTCAGTCTGTTATTATTGGTCCTGGGCTGCTTCCTGGGCCTTGGTGGTCATCCTGGGAGGGTCTGCTCTGTGGATGTCTTTGATCCCTGAGCTGGTCCAGCAGCCACTCTGGTTCTCTCCAACATACCTGTGCCCTGGCTGCATGCAGTAAACTATGCATTGTTCCAGGACCCAGGAATGACATGCGTGTGCTTTTTAAATTCACAACGAACCAACAAACAAACCTTTGCCAGGAACCAGTTAGATAGCCAGGCCTAGAGGCATTTGCTTGAAATCACAGCTACTTAGGAGTCTGAGGCAGGAGGATTACAAGTTCAAGACCTGCTTGGCTGACAGAGCAAGTGCAAGGCAAGCCTGTCTCAAAATAAAATGTTAAAAAAGGGGGTTGGCTGGGGATGTAGCTGCAGGGATGTGCTTGCCTAGAATATACTGGACCCTGGCTTCAGCTCCCAGCATCACAGTAGAAAACAGTGGGGGTGTTTTCTCGGTGCTATATTAGATGAATTCACAGGGAGAAGTCACTCTTGCCTCTGGCTGTCCCTCCAAGGGTTTGGCATAGTCATTATCTTTGATCCTGAGAGTGTCCTGGAGTACTTAGTGAGTGCAGCACATGGCCTTGCCTGGTGGCTTAGGCTGAGCTGCCTTTCTTAAATGCAGAGCCCAGGACGAGGTGATTGTGCCTGAGCCCTGTGGATGATAAAGTGCAGGCATCCCTCAGCATCCCAGGGGCTTGTCCCAGGATCCCTCTCAGATAAGGTACAAAAGCATTCAGATGCTCAAGTCTCTTACATGAAACAGGCAGTAGGCCCCTAGTCTGGTTGTTCGAAGGGATCTTAAGCCTTTGAGACAGTTCTGGATAAGAGGCCAAGAGCCATCCAGACAGGCCAGGAGCAGGTGGCACTTGGTAGACTAAGGAGCTGGGTCATAGCGGGGGAGGTGACTGGGTGTGAGCCCATCCATAGCAGGGGTCCCTATGCCTTTGCTCATGAGGACCCTGTATAGATGAGTTCCCTCCTCTGCTTGTGATGGCCCCTTCCATGGCGGTTACTGAGTGGGTGGGAAGGGTGTGCCAGTCCCCTGAGTGTGGGTGCCAGAGGGTGCACTTTCAGTCCCTGGCAGCCAGGCCACTTGGGAGCCGTGTTTACAGCTGTTACCAGGGTCCTCCTGCCCTTTCGTCCTCGTGGCTGAGAGTGGCAGCCACTGGCTTTGTGGAAGTCCTGGCTGCTCCTGCCCACCCAGCCTCCTGCTCACTGTCCCAGGAGGAAGGAAGGGCACCCAGGGGAAGGAGTGAGTGTTTAGAGCATGGGCATGTGGGGGTGTTCCCCTGTCCTCCACCCTTCCTGCCTCCCAGTTGGAGCTGATTCGGCACCCTCTACCCTCACAGTTGGGGTGTGACCCCCCCCACAAATCCATTGTGACAATGGCACACGCAGCAGATATTTATCAAGCACTTGCTGCGCGTCAGGCACAGTGCAAGGCACAGAACACAGTGACTCAGACAGATCTAGGTCTGTCTCACCCAGCACTGTTTCCGATAGGGACCTGGTTGATGCCCCGGTTTGCCACAGGGATGGTTTACAGAGCTGCAGGGACATGGACAGTTTACAGAGCTGCAGAGACATGGACAGTTTACAGAACTGCAGAGACATGGACAGTTTACAGAACTGCAGAGACATGGACAGTTTACAGAGACATGGGCAGAGCCCTGGGAGGAAGAGGGGTGTCGGCAGCCTTGCTTGGAGAACCCTGCTCAGGCCATTTAATCCTATGGCCTGCCAGGGCCAGGAAAGGCACCAAGGGGCAGGTTCTCTATGCCCGCTGTTTTACCCCAACCCCCCCCCCCAACTCCCAGGCCTCCCACAGGCTCAACCCACCAGGAACCCTGAGGCAGGGCCCAGGCCGATGGATTTGCCAAACTCACAGGTTCAAGACACACGGGTGGAGTTGGATCTGGAGAGCAAGTGGGGATACTGGCCTTGTGTTATATGGGACACGTGGTAGTGGTTGGACTGCTTGCCAGGTGGCATCGGGGCTAAGATGTGTGGGAGGCGTATGTAAGGCTCGAGGGTCCCTGAGGCCACTTCATGGCTCCGCTGCAGTGTGAGGGAAGGCCCATCACAGTCCTCAGTAGAGTCTGCTGTGCTGGCAGTAGCTCTGGGTTGAGCCTGCTGTGCTTGAACTCGTCCACTCCCCCTCAATTGGCCACCTCAGGGGCTCCTTGCATACCCTACCCGTGTCTGATTTCTAGCTGCCTGGCTCGTCTGCCTCCCTTCCTGAATTCATTCATTTTGCAGGCATCCGTACCAGGTTTGCCTTTGTCTTGGCATGTCACACGTCACCTGGAGAGACAGCAACAAATGGAGTCTGTGTTTGCATAGGAGCAGGCTGCTACAGGGTGGAGAGCTAGCTTCTTAAAGTTGTCCAGGTGCAAGGTGGATCCAGGCCACCTGGGGGAAGTCCCTAATAGGGAGAGGGAAGTTCTTCTAGGTATGAGCGGGTCAGGGACCAGAGGTGGAATGAGAAGGCAAGGATGGTTTGAGCCATCAGAGTACAGCTACCTCCAGGCAGGAGGAGGCAAGGTTCGGGTCTTCACCGTGCTTACTGAGTTTGGGGTGAGAGATATTTCAGAGGGACACCACAGGCCTGTGGCTACAGACGGGACTTAAAGCTGAAACGCTGAGTTGACTCTCCTTGCTGAGTGGAGGGAGGAGTATGGCCCTAGCTCTGGAGTTCCAGTGGGAGGTTGGCCTGGAAATGATGGGGGAAATTGACTGAGGAAAGAGGAGCTGTATCAGTTCAGCAGTATTGTCTACCAGTGAAGGCTAGATCAGGGCCCGCTGCAGATTCAGGGACGTAGAGTCATTGTGGCCAGATGGGTTGTGTTTGTTTAGGGGAGCATGTGTACGCCTCATGGGGAGAACTAGGGGGTGTGGTTGTCATGAGTGCCAGAGGCGGGGTTCCTCTGCAGTACTTACTGCAGAGTGGGGGAAGAAATGGATTGCTGAGAGCAATCGGTGTTTTTTTTTGTTTGTTTGTTTGTTTTGTTTTTTCTGTTTCTAGGGTCAGGTTATTGTATATCTAGATGTTGAAGGTACCCCAGTCGGGGAGAAACATGTTGCAGAAGCAACCTGTGAATAGGTATGAGGATGCGGCATGAGCTATCCTAGAGATTTAGGGATGCACATCTCCCAGTGATGCCAGGCCTGGCCCTTCCCAGCCCCAGTAGACTTTTCCAGAACACCAGCCTTGCTATCCTTGAGGTCTGCACTCTGTAGCTGCTGGTCACAGGAGCATGGTGTTGTGGGCATGTACTGTATGAGCATACTGAGAGGCCGGGCAATGTTGGGTATGGGAACTACCAGTGTAGGTTTAAGGCTAGCAACATGTGTGAACGGGGGTGCAGAATGGTGAGTGCACGATGGTGGCCAGTGGGGTGCAGAATGGTGAGTGCACGATGGTGGCCAGTGCTGCCTGGGACAAAGCTCAGCTTCCCCGCCTATTCTAGAAAACCCTAAGCAGATGGCAAGCCCTGAGGGGTGGCACATGAATGACATCTCTAACCCCCCCCCCCCGCCAGAGGCTTTCCCTCACAAGTCTTGCAGTCACCCCTCATCCCCTGGGTTAAGCCAGGTGCTCAGGAGCAGAAGGGTAGAGTATGATGGACAAGCCTCTGTAGCCTTGGTTGACTTAGTAAAGGACTGTCTTTGGGCTCCAGTAGGTTAAGTTCAGGCTGGCTGACCCCAAGTTGATGAGAATCCCCCCACCCCTACCACACAGACCCAGACCATGGGTGATGGACACATGAGGGAGGGGCTAACCTGCTGTGCTGTATGTGTTCATGTCTCTGCAGCCCTTCTTTTTCCCTGGGGAATGAGACCCTGAAGGTGCCACTGGCCCTGTTCGCCCTGAACAGGCAGCGCCTGTGTGAGAGGCTGAGGAAGAATGCAGCGGTCCAGGCTGGCTCAGTTGTTGTGTTGCAGGGCGGGGAGGAGATGCAACGTTACTGCACCGACACCTCTATCATCTTCCGCCAGGTGAGCCTTCACCCTGTTCTTGCAGGCTGTCTGCCTCCAACACCACACATGGGGCCTGGCAGCTTGGTTCCAAGGGTCCCTGGAGGCAGCGTGGGAGCAGGGATCCCACATCTGGGCTGAGCACCTCCAGCCTCACCTGTTGGGTGGAGCTCTCGAGGCATAGAAAGATACCCGTGGGGGGAGGGGACAGGCAGGCTCGGCTTCATGAGGAGCTGGTGTTTGCAGTGAGCTCTCAGAGCCAGGGTGAGTTTGGACAAGCAAGAGGACAGTGTGCATGCAAGTGGATAAAAATGCACATGCTCGGGGCCACTGGCTACAGTTTAGGGGGACAGCAGAGAGTCAACCTGTAGAGGAGGGGTTGAGTTCCTGGGATTGCACGCTGGCAGGGAGGAGAGCTGGGAGGATTCTGTGACCTGCCTGTTTAGAGGCCCTAGCCTTCATCTGAGTTGGCCCGTGCTCACCCTTGACACCCTAACTGGGCTGCATACGCCCGATTTGCATGTCAGGGGATCTATAGCCTGTAAATAGCCGAGAATTACTGTAGCACACACAGTCTCCAGGAGTAACAACACTTTCCCAGGAAGCTAGGTTGACCCAGAGTTGGGCCTACTCTCATCGAGTCTAGCATTATGCCCACTTTACAGAGGAGGAGACTGAGGCCTGGGGTAAACAACTTGCCAACAGGTAGACCTGGGATTGGACCCCTATCTTGTGAGGATGGACAGCTGGCAGCCAGCCGGGCTGGGAATCAGGCCGCAGAGCTGCAGCAATTTCCTAAGGGGAGGCCTGAGCTGCTATGGAGAAGGGAGGCCTCAGCCTCTGCCCTCCTACCCCTCTCTTGTGCCTCATGCTTCTGCTCTGGTCACTGGCTAATGAGGCCCCTTGTCCCCTCCACAGGAGTCCTTCTTCCACTGGGCCTTCGGTGTCATCGAGTCAGGCTGCTATGGTGTCATTGATGTGGACACTGGAAAGTCAACCCTGTTTGTGCCCAGGCTCCCTCCTAGCTATGCCACCTGGATGGGGAAGTAAGGAGTGGTCCCTGCCTTGGTGCCCACCCTGCTGGGGACGACGGTAGGGCGCTGGCAAGCTCTGGGTCTCCGCCCTGGACCTCAGACGGGAAGAGCGGGCAGAGCGAAGCTGTGCGGTGGAGGCAGGGTTTCCTGACAGCTCTGGTCCTCTGCATACTGAAGATGCTGGTGGACTTTGCACCAGCAAGTGGTGGGTCGCACCCGCATGAGCTTCACGGGGGAGTGCGTGCTGTCTAGACCCCCTTTCTGAGGCTCGTTACCCACGTCCAGGGCTGTTGTTAATGTCTGCTTCTGGACTCAGATGACCTGGCCTCTCTGGGAGGCGTTGCTGTGCCAGCCAAACTAGGAGTTGGGGACCAGAGGCCAGGCTAAGCTCCCTGGGAGGGACTGTCCCTCCCACTCCCATCTTCCATGACACCTGGCAGCTCCTCCCTGCTCACAGCACCGAGGCAGACGCTGTGTCACCAGGGAAGTTGGAAGTGGTCAGAGAACCTTGTCTTCCAGCCTGTCATTTCTGCCTGGAGAGTGATTATTCCAGGCTAATGTGTAAATTGCAGCCTTTGCTACCCGCCGTCCCGTCGCGCTCATTACCAGGTGGGCTGGTGAGTCTGTGGCTGGTTTGAGTGACATGGCACCTGGCTGCCGCAGGGACTCTGAGCTCTTTGCAGAGGGCTAGGGCTTCCGAAGGGCTGTCCCAACTCCCTCCGCTCTGTGTGCTGTCTCCCCTGCTCCAAGCAGACCCCATGGCGTCCCTTGCCGGTCCTGGCGTGTTGTTCTGCTGTCTTGAGGGAGGGTGTCCAGTTCCACAAATTGACAGCAGTTTTGCTTTTAGGCCACTTGGCAGCGTGCCAGGCTGGCCCTGGGCCATCAGCTCTGCTGTGAGGATGCAGCAGAGGCAGGGTTGGCAGCAGGCGAGAAGCCGGCCCTGGTTCTCCTGTGAGGTTTTCTTGGCTTGACCCTTAGGAGGGACCAAGAGGGGGCAGGGAGTGGACATGTCTTGTCTAGCTGCCTTTGGGATAGAAAACAGGGATGCCAAGGAGAAGCCATGCCTGCTACCTCCCTGGCTCATGTTCCGTGTGCAGCCAAATCCTCACCACTTCCCTGCTACAAAGATGGAACAGGTTCCGTGTGCTGGGAAGACCCATCTCAGCGGAGTAGTCCGCTCTTGTGGGGCCGTGATTGGAAGTAAGGCTTGCCCGTAGTCTGTCACGGCCTCTGGATGGTGGCCATGAGGTACCAGCAGGTGAGGCTGCCCGCTGCTCCAATGCCTTCCTAGGAAGCAATACCGTTACAGTACAGTGGCATGTCTGACCTAGAAGTCACTGGACCATCCCAGGCAGGCATTGAGCTTGTAACCTACCTGGCTAGAAAGGTGGAATCTGTTTCTCCTGCTTGACCCTGCTCAGGGCCCATGATACAGGATGTTGGCTGGGTGACTATGAGGCTCGACCATGATATGCACTCGGCCTTCCCCCGGTTCTCTCCATTGGGGCTGTTTCCTCCAGAATGCAGCTGCCCTACCATGAGGAAGCCCAGACTCACCCGAGGTGAATCAAGTGCCTGCTGAGGTCACGGGTGCCGTGTAGCAGAGGTTAGCCCTGCTGCCCAGGCTGTCTCACTTCCTGACCTTGAGAATCCACATACTAGAGACCTTTCTCATTCCTGACAGAGCAGCTTGAGTGGGGGAAGATGTACTTTGGTTTAGTGTTTCTGAAGGTGTGACAATGGGGTGACACTGGGCTTGTTAAGAGGAGTGTGAGATCACATCATCGCAGCCATGGAAGCAGAGAACAGGACCACACATGTGGCCAGGCTACAGCTCTCAAAACATGCCCCCAGTGACCCAATTCTGCAGTCTTCCAGAACAGCACCCGGCTGGGGCCCAGATGTTCAAACACTTGATCCTACCGGGCATGGTCCAGAGTCAAACCCTAGCAAGGATCGACGGTTTTTGGGTTTTGTTCCACCCAGTTTTAGGGTTGGATATTACTCAATGGTAGTGTAGAAGTCAGGTTTCCGCTGCTGTGACAGAGTACCCGAGAGAAACAAATTAAAGAGAGGGAAGGATAATTTTGGCTGCTGATTACAGAGGTTTCGGTCTGTGTGTGGCCTGCAGGTTCCCTCGCTGTCTGACATAAGGCAAAATACAATAGTAGGGGGAGCTAGTCACACAGCTACCCTCATGGTAGTCAAAAGCGAGGCATAGGGGAAGTCAGACAGACAGACAGACAGACAGACAGACAGACAGACAGAGACGGGTTCTAAAATATGGTTTTAAGGCTGTGCCTCCCAGTGCCTTTCTTACTCCAGTTAGGCCCCACCTCCTAAAAGCCCATTGAGCTATTATTAGTAGTCTTCACTGATGAAGTTAATACCATCATAAGCCCCTCTCGAGCATTGCCTCACAGGGAAGCAAGCCTTCAACATGACACTTCTCATCCAAACCATAACAGCATCCTGCCTGTCCTCCTCATCAGAACTGTGGCTGACCCTGTTGCTTAGAGAGCCAGCTCAGAGGTTGGCGGATACTGTCACCTATGAGCTGTGGAGATGACTGTGGGGGTCCAGGAGAGTCTGTCGTCCCTCAGTTGGCCCCACCCAGAGTTTCTGTCTGACGAGGTAGAAGGACACTGAGCGTGCCTCCTCTGCTGTCTTCCTCCCGCCCTCCCTCTTCTTTCTTTAGATAGAATGTCACTATGTAGCCTCAGCTGGCCTCAGACTCAGACTCCACTGCTGGGATTACAGGTGACCACCACCATGCCCTGCTAAAAGAATTATGTGGGTGCGTGGTGTGTGTGTGGTGTGTGTGTGTGTGTGTACGTGTGCACGCGTGTGTGTATTGCTGGGGATTGATTCTGGGACCTTGCACATGCTAGGCGAGCACCCTACCACTTTGCTTTGTACCTAGATATTTCCCTCTAATTAAGAACTGTCTAGCAAGAAATGAAGGGTGCTGCGTGTGAATTGAAGGCAGACATATTCTACAGTTGGTAGAGTGGAGGATTGAACTTGCCTAAGGGACTCTACCCCAGTTGCTGAACCCGTGTGAACTCTCCATGTCTCTCACTCTCACACCTTGGGAACCAAATAGCCCTTGACTGAAGGTTTAAAGCCCAGGATCTGATTGGTCCCTCCTCAGCTGTTAGCTGTCTGCTGTCTGGGCGCATAGCCTTCAAGAATACAGGAATTATAGTCTGCGCCCAGGCTGCAGCTGAGCCTCAGAGACCGTTCAAAACACTCCTTTAGTCTGTTGTGTTTTGCCGAGGGAGCTCATTGTCTAGTGTGGAACAGAGCCTTGAGTAACCTTGAGGGTAGAAGCGCATCTGCAGGCTTGGCTCCCCTGGTGAACGAGGCCTGTGTGCTGTGTAGGCTAGCTAGACCTTTCCTTTCTGTGCTCTGGGCTGGCTCACTGTCTCTCTGTCCTGAGTGTTTGGGAGGGAAGGCCTGGTTGTAATGGGCAGGTGACAAAGGGGCTGGTTGTCTGGGCTCGAGCTGGGAAGCCGCCAGATCTGATGTGCACGGCTGCTTCCAGACGGTCTCGTAATCGATAGGGCACGGGGAGCAAGGCTGCTGGGATTACCTGGCCTTTGCAATCAAAACCCACCAGACTGAACGTTTGACCTTAAGCTCCTTAACTTCCTTTGGAGTCTATCTGATGGCTTTTGAAAATCTGTCCGGCTACCCTGTAATCCACAGTCACTCGGGGAACCAGTGCTCTGCTGTAGGGTCCACAGCTTTTGTGGGTGCAGTCTTGCTGTCAGGGTTGCAGGTGCTGGCCTCTGCCTCACCCCACACCTCACTGAAACAGGAGGGTGGGAGCCCTTGGTGTGGTTTTGTAGGAGTCTATCCAAAAGAGGGTCAGCTGGCAGTAACTTTGGCCTGGGGTATCTGGGCTCCTCTAAGCAAACTGGAAGTTTCCTCTATGACACGTCACACCGAGTAGCTTCAGGGCCTGTGGGTAGGGCTGGGGGATCCTCTGCAGTCATGCCTGTCCTCGACCAGACTGAAAGGAGAGAGTGTGCCTGGCCCCAGGTGGCCCAGGAAGCGGCTGCTGTGAGCTCTCTGGGGCTGAGTCCCAGAGGACCTGTGCACAGCTCCTTTTGCTAGTATACCATGTGAGCTCTCTCCCTCCCTCCCTCCCACCCTCCCTCTGTCCCTCCCTCCCTCTCTCTCCCTCTCTCTCTCTCTGTGTGTGTGTGTGTCTCTCTCTCTCCCTCTCTCCCTCTCTCTCTCTCTGTGTGTGAGTGTGTGAGATGTGTTGTGATTTGTAGTGGGGTGTGTATGGGGTGACTCTTGTTGTTTGAGATAGGGTCTATGCAGCTATGTAGCTCAGACTGACCTTGAATTCAGGGTCTCCCTGTCTGTTTCCTTGCATGTAGGCTGTTTGTGGCATGAGATGTGGTGTGTGGGAAGGGGTCTGTTTATTCTGGCACTGGCCACACTCACACACTTTGAGTCACCGGGATCATAGCTTTCCCAGCCTCTCTGGGGCGCACTCTGGCTCCTGCTCTTACGCTGTTATGAGTAGGCGAGATGGGCTCTGTGAAGGAAGCAGTCCTTGAGAAGAGCTACTGGGTTCTTGGATCTTCCTGCTTGACTGCCCCTGACCCCAGCACCTGGGGATTAGCCAGGGTCCCTAGCTTTCAGGGGCGGGTCTGTCTCCATCGTGTCTCCTTACTGTGCGGCTGTCCTCGGCCTGGCTTCTCAGTGTGGCCGCGCTGTGGCTGCTGCAGCTCACACATAGGAGCAGTCTCCAGGCTCAGACACCTGCTCTGGTTTGCAGAGGGCTGCTTTCCTCTTTGACAACTTAATGACACCTTGACATGGTTGCTGACTTCTGCTCCGCGTGCACCGTGTTGTGCCACCACAGGGATAAGAGGCAGCAGGACTGTTTGGAGCTGAAGGAGGCGCCGGGCGCCAGGCGCCGGAAACTGACGGGGACTGCTGTCATTTGATCTTATTACTTACTCATTAACTGCATGCAGGTGACACTAGCCACTCAGCCCACTAAGCTCTTTACGGTTTCATTTTCTTTTCTGGAGGGTTCCATCATGCTTCCATCAAGTGGCATTAATTTAATGGCTCCTTCTCACCTGCGACCTCGCACAGGGCTTTGGGGCTCATGGCACTGCAGCCAAGCGTCACCTGCTCTGACTCTGGGCTTGTGCTGGGCCCAGCTGCCCGCAGAGCACAGATCCTCTCTACAGGATGCCTCTTCTGCCTAGTGAGGGGACTTCTCTCCTCTGCCAGGACTGCTCTGTGCACCCAAACGAGGAGTGTCCGAGTGAGCGCAGCTCCTCTCCTGACTCCCTTCAGTCCTGGTTCTTCCCATCGGGATCTCCCTTGTGACGCCTTTGACATGTGAAGGGGCCAGGCATGAGCTGTGCTTGCCCCTCCCCACATGCTGGCTGGGACTGGGTGTAGACCCTCTAAGACCTTGTAGACCCCTGCCCCCAGCCAGCACAGCCATCTGTGTATTCAGTTTCCCAGTGACCTTCCCAGCCAGTGTCACATCCCATGTCACTCCTTTTCCCATCAACCTCACCACGTCCTGGCTGCCAGGTGTGTCCCGTGACTGGTTTGATCACGCAGCCTGGCTCACATATCCCTTCGGGTAACATTTAAATGATTTTTTTTTTTTACTGTAATTAACCCACAAACATGAAAAAGCAAGAACTGTTCAAACTTAATTATCTCTGCCCTTTCTAAGAAGAATGTAACACACAGAGTCCCAGACAAAAGGCTCTCAGCACTAAGTATTTTATGTTGGCGGTTATTCCTGGCAAACCTTGATGCATGGGAGGTGCTTTTTGGCTCTCAGAAGCCAGTTTGCACCCTGCCTAGACTGTGGCATCTGCCTCTGTAAGGAGAGCAAGTCCTGGGCAGGGGACTTGGTGGGGCTGATGCCACTTCTTCCTGCTGGGGCCCTTCTAGGGGCCAGCCATCCTTTGCTCCACCTCGCCATCCACAGGCAGCGGGATGGCTTGTGACCACTGCTGTGGTTTGAATGCAGGTTGTCCCCCAGAAGGTCATGCGTTGGATGCTTGGTTCCTACCTGCTGCTGTTTTGAGAAGTTTTAGAAACTTTAGGAAGACTGTGGAGGAAATCGGTCACTGAGGTTGTGTCCCTGGGGGAAGAGGGTCACCCTTGTCTCTGCTGTCAGCTTCCCGCCCACTCTGAAGGGAATAGCCTTTGTACATGCCCTCCACCATAGCCTTCTGCCTGCCTCCCTGTTAACTCAGGGCCAGTGGAGCCAAGCAGCCACAGACCGAGCCCTCTGAAACAAAAAACCCTGAGCCCAAATAAATAGCCACCGGCTTAGGCTGTTCTATAAGGCATTTCCGCACAGCCATGTAGAGGGAGCTTGTATAACCACCGTGTGGGGTTCATAGGTGAGTATCCAGCAGCGGTGACCCCCTCTGACCACAGCCCACTGAGATCACCTCCTCTCGGCCGCCACTTCCGTGGCCTGGGCCTTACCGCCTCTAGACCTCGCCGGGCTTCTCCAGTGTGACATGTCTCTGATGAATCCTAACTTGTAAGATTCCCCAGGAGGGAAGGACAGGGAGATATTTCCTGGTGGCTTCCCTCTAAGGGACATTTTTTTTTTTTTTTTTTTTTTTTTGGAGGGAGGCTTCAGGTGCCCTATGGCAGTGACGTGAAAAGGCCAGGCCCCGGTGTGGTGAGCCTGACCGTCTGCACAGAGCCCTGGAGGCTGGGTCAGATCCTTGCACTCCTCAGTCTGTTGGGTGTTTTCCTTTCATGCCTGTCACAACCAGGTGACTGGGGCTGGAGGTAGGACTGGGCTGAGCTGGCACAGCTGGAGAGGGAGTAAAGATGCTTAGCAGCTGTTCTGCCGGTGGCCCTGCCTCTGGCTTTTCCAGCCTGCAGCTGGGACTCCCAGGATCCAGGTGAAGTGACAGGTTCTGCTGGGCTCATGAGGCCGCTTGCTAATGGAGGGAGGTGTCAGATCTTGGCCAGTTAACTTGTAAGTCCTGTCTCATGGCAGAAGCTAATGTGACTAAATTGTGCAAATTTAATTAATGGCAAAAACTTGATGGCCGGTGAGTTTTTCCACAGGCCAAAGGAGGGGGTGGGGAAGCAGAGGGCGCTCTGTGCGAGCGCAGTGAGGTGGACCCTCTCTCTGGTCTGTGAGCCCATTGCTGCTGCTCCTACGGCCCTCCTCTGTCCCCGGCCCCGTATCTGCACCTCTGGCAGCCAACTTGGCGTGTTTGGATGGAAAGAGATTGCTAGTGGACCAGAGAGAATGGTGGGCTCCTAGGCAGTGCTGTGCTGTGCGCATAGGCTGTGGAACTCTGAGAATCTCCTCCTGGTTTTATTTGGGACTCCCAGGAACCGGCCCCCCACCTCCAGCCTCCACACCTTTCATGGCTCCTGAGGCAGAAGGTGAAGCTACCTTCTATCAGTGCTAAGGCCTCTGGTAGAGAGGACACCTACTGTGAGACCATGATAGGATGGGAAGGGTGGGTATTTCCCAGTATGTGGCAGCCAGGTGTGCAGTGGTTCAGGGTGGCGTATATACATCCCTCGAGTTGGTGCTTGGCAGGTGACATCACATCCCCCCCATACACACACCCTGTTGTTAGTTTTCTTCTATATGTGAGCCCGTTGCTCCTAACAGCATTGACTCATCTACCCTCCGAGGCCTAGGGGCAGGACGGGGCGGGTGGCAGCCTGCTGGACTCAGGAGAGCATCAAGAGCTGGGCAAGGGTTGTCTCTCTGCATCTACTCCCTGCTTTCCAAGATTGATGACTAAGCTTAAACCCTTCTCATCACATTGAGAAATACTGATATTGGCTTCTTTAAAGTGTTAATTTATTAGCCTCCCTTTAAAGAGGGACAGCCTGGGAGGTTACTTATCCCACACTCCTGAGGGTAAGGCACATTGCTGGCTGCCCGGTGGGTCAGTGATATGGCCGGAGACGGTGTAAGCAGAGGCCGTATCCCACAGCTGCTTGCTACAGGCAGCTAGGGGCACAGTGGACTGAGTCAGGGGTCCCAGAGGCGGCAGACATGGTTGAGTGGCCTGGCGCCCTTGATCAAGTGCTGGGTATACCCGCTTAGTGCTAGATCCTCGCACCGTGAGGGATGGACTTGGGGCTTTGTGGCCTGGATTTGGTAGGCAGAGGTGGCTGGTCTGAGGTGTCGCCAAGCCCTTGACCATGATTTTCCTTCTGCTTCCTTTGAGGATCCATTCCAAGGAGCATTTCAAGGAGAAGTACGCTGTGGATGACGTCCAGTACACAGACGAGGTAAGTGGCTGCCCTGGTTTCTCGTCCTTCCACTGCCAACAGTCTTGGGACACTGCCACTGGCTGTAGGTGTCACTGTCACAAGAGCCCCAGGTGAGAAGACTTGGATGTGCCTTCCGGCCCAGCAGTGTCGGGTAATGTGAGTAGACGTGTGAGTGTCGTCCTGAGGCTGTGAACCTGCCCCGTGTCTAGGCAGACGAAAGGGCTCTTTCAACTTGCCCTGCCTGCCGACAGAGCAGGGCTGACTGAGGCGGAGATGGAGCCCGGCTAGGAGCTCCAAGGCCTGAGTGAGCAAAGTCCTCTGCTACCGTGGCCACTGCCTGGCACACAGGAGGCCTCTCTGCTTCATCCCTGGGCGATGGCCCAGCTCCATGTCCTACTGGATAGAAGTCAGCACCTGCCACCAGAGATCTAAGCTGGACCTGGCAGCATCAGCTGGACAGGGCACTGTGGCCGCTTTGCCCTAGAGAGCTCGACAGTGGACACATGCTAAGAGCTGGGGCTGGGGCTGCCAAGCCATGAAAGCAGCCTAGCTGCCTGTCAGCAGATGAATGGAGAGAGGAGATGTGCTGTATTCACACAGTGCAGTGTTATTCAGCCACGAAGTCATATGCAGGAAATGTCTTCATTGGTGGCACTGGGGACCTTCCTGTGAGTGGAAAGAAAGCCAAATGTATAAGTTTGACCTCATATGTAGAGTCTGGATCAGTGGTTTGCCTTTTTTTCCCGGGACAGGGTTTCTCTGTGTAACAGTCCTAGCTGTCCTGGAACTCACTCTGTAGACCAGGCTGACCTTGAACTCACAGAGATGCTCCTGCCTCTGGCTCCCGAGTGCTGGGATTAAAGGCGTGTACCACCACGTGGCTCTGGATCAGTTGTTCTCCATTCAATCTGCTAATGCTGTGACCCTTTGATACAGTTCCTCCTGTTGTGGTGATCCCCCCAACCATAAGATTATTTCCATTGCTACTTCCTAACTAGAATTTTGCTACTGCTTTGAATGATGATGTGACTATCTGGTGACCTCTGTGAAAGGGTCATTTGATGGACAGAGGGGTTATGATCCACAGGTAGAAAACCCCTGGCCTAGATTCTAGATTAAAACCTACCTGCCTGTCTGTTTTGTGTGGTGTGAAAGCAGGGTTATTTGGGAAGCGGAAGGGGGCCAGTGATGGGAGGAGACAAGGAAGGACAATGGAGAATGTGACAAAGGTCTGTGAGATCACCCATGAAAACATCGCAGCGAAGCACAATTATGTGCTATGGGTATGCACGAATAATTTCTTTGAAAGACCATGCTGAAGAAGAGGTAGCGGTGGGAGAGGGGAGGAGCTTGAGGGCTGGGGCTGGGGTTCCAGAGGGAAGGTGGTCACAGCACGGGATCTGTCCAGTGGAAACCAAGCAGAAACCCCTTCCCTCTGGGCAGGACACAGCTATTTTTTGGGGTGACAGCACCAGGTGAGGAAGCAGGTTTGGGGGGACCCTAGCCAGGTACAATGCACTGTGCAGAGCCTGCCGGTCTCTGCTCGGCGTTTTGTGCCTGGGGGCAGACAGCTCTGCTTGACCTTGGATGGACCAGCTTCGGCCCCTTCCTGTACACAGGCCTTGAGCCTGTAGCTCTGGAATGTCCCGCCTCACAGTCTCCATCCCTCGGGGCCTGCACTGACCCACATGGGTGCTCTCAGGATCGCTTGTGGACACTACCGCTGTCTGGCTTCTGAGCTGCACTGGCCCCTGGTTGTTTGCCTTGCCATGACTCCACCTAGCAGCCCAGGGCGTGGGATAGCACCGGAAGTGACTTGATAGATGAAGTCACTGAAGCAAAGTAGTTCCCTGTCAGGTTCCCAGGAGAATGTTCACATACTGTGCCACAGTCTGTGTCTCAGTACCTTCTGCCCTGTTGGACCACAGAGAGATAGGCAGTTTATTGTTTTTTTCTTAATTTATTTATTATTTTTATTTTATGTGCATTGGTGTTTTGCCTGCGCGCACCTGGGTGAGGGTGTTGGATTTCCTGAAATAGGAACTACAAACAGTTGTGGGTGCTGGGAATTGAACTCAGGTCCTCTGGAAGAGCAGTCAGTGCTCTTAACCACTGAGCCATCTCTAGAGACCCAAGATTATTTTTTCTGCAAGGTTTCTAATAATTATTAGTGTGTGTTTTAAAAAGATTATTATTTTTAAGTATGTGTGTGTATATATATATGTATATATGTATACACACATACACACACACACACACATATATATAAATGTGCGGCGCATACGCGCATTGGGTGCAGTACCTATGGAGGCCAGAAGGGGGCATCAGATTTCCTGGGATTATGATTTACAGGTCATTGTGAGCTGCCCTGTGTGGGTGCTGGGGACTAAACTCCAGTCCTCTGAAAAAGCATCAAGTTCTTTTAAACTAAGCCATCTCTCCAGCCCTTATGGTATATATACATTATATGTACATACTACATGTTCATATTTATACACTGTACTTTGATCATACATCCATTTACTGCTTGTCCTGTCCCAATTCTGACCCTCTTCCTCTTCTCAAATAGTTCCCTTTCTACTTTCCTTTTCTTTCTTGTTTTTGTTGTTGTTCTTTTTTTTCCCCCCCCCTTCCAGGCAGGGTCTCTCTCTCTGTGTGGCCCTGGCTGTCTTGGAACTCCCTCTATAGACCAGGCTGGCCTCAAACTCACCGAGATCTCTTACCTCTGCCTCACTAGTGCTGGGATTTCTGTTTTTGTTTTTAAGACTGGGTTTCTCTGTACCGTCCTGGAGCCTGTCCTGGAACTAGCTCTATAGGTAAGACTGGCCTCGAACTCACAGAGATCTGCCTGCCTCTGACTCCTCAGTGCTGGGATTAAAGGTGTGTGCCACCCCACTGCCCGGCTTCCTTCTACCTTCTTACCTTTTCCTTCCAACTGCACATTCCTCATATGAGGGAAAACACACCATGTTTGTCTTTCTGAGTCTTGTTTGACAAGGTGATCTCTGCTGCTGATGACATAATTTCATTCCTCGTATGGCCAAATAACACTCCATTGTGTACCAAATCTTCGTTCTCCATTTGTCTGCTGATGGGCACCTAGGCTGATTGCACATCACTGCTGTGAATTGTACTACAATGAATGTGGGTCTGCAAGAATCTCTGTAGAAAGCTGACTTAGCTTCCTTTGGTATATATACCTAGGAGTGGTGTAGCTGGCTCATACATAGTTTTATGAAGAGCTTCATCCTGATTTCCATATTGGATGAACTCGTTTATTAAAGCCCTATCTGTAGTGATAGGGTTCCTTTCCCTACACATTGAGAGGCAGCTTTTGTCATGCGGCTTCAAGCTTTTAAGGGTGACCCATGACATCTAAGCCTGTTACAGTGTAGCCAGTTGTACTTACCGCTCTCTTTTTGTGTGGCTCTGTAACAGACTGAATGTTTATTCGGGTTCTCCTAATGAGGTCGTTTGCTACATTGTATCTCTAGGCACTAGCGGAGACGTTCATCCTTCACCCTGACCTTACTCTGGTGCTGCCCTTTGGCCATGCGTCTCCATTACCCTCCCACCCTATAAAGTGCATCTCAGTGGCCTTGCCCTTGTGGGTCTTGAGCGTGGCCTCTCCCCTTATCAGACTGGAGGGAAAGCTAGGATAGGCCCATCTCAGGGTTGTGAGGTAGATTCCTGCCTTGGGCTGCCCCCCCCCCATGCTGAGTAAGAACCCTCTCTGGGCTGCAGCCTCATAGATTAACTGGAGAGAGGGGGAATTCAACTCCCTTTCCACTGTGAGGGAAGGAAGGAGACCTCCAGATGTGGGACAATAGAGGAAGAGGAAGTGTCCAGATGGGAAAGCCCATAGTGAGGGTACAGACAGGCAGCCACTAGGCCGTCTTGCTCTTAATCTTTTAAGGCAGAATGTTAAATGAAGGCATCGATAGAGGTCAAAGGCAGGGCCTCTTTAGGGTTCTGGGGTACTCTGAAGGAGCATTCATTATCGTCATCGATCAGCTCTCTTGATCACTGTGATTGTTGTTCTATGCTTTCGGTTTCTCTGCCAGAGAGAGAACTGAGGGCCTTGGGCATGCTAGGCTGACCCACTCCCCCTGCTTTGACTGTTGCCCTCCCAGAGCGCCCACACACACATACACACACACACACACACACACACACACACACACTAGGACAGGCACTTTACTCTGGGGTTGCTCCCACCCTGTTCCATGGTGAACGACTTCTCCAACCCCATCTACAGACTAGAAGGTCAAGACTGAGAGTAAAAGGCCTCATCTGTGGCCCCACAGCTGGGGTGTGGCAGCATTGCAGTGACCCCAAGACCTCCAGATTCTAGAGGCTGTCCTCTCCGGCTCTACCCTTGGCCTGTCGGAAGTGAAAGGCTGACCTGCAGGAGGCTTGCTTGTGCAGAGGAGACCCAAGCTTCCAAATGCCCATAATTTGCTGAAACTGGGAACGACCCCCACTCAAAGGAGCAAACCGCTGCGTTGAGCCCCACGGGCTACAAGCGTTTTGTGATGTGGGCAGCACTCAGGTTTAGTCCATCATGGGAGGTGACAGGAAACTCCTCAGGCAGGTATTCCAGGCCAGTTCTGAGGTGCCAACCTAGCGTTGGCCATCTTTGTAAACCACACAGCTAGCTGCAGGTGCGTGCTTGCTCTGAAAGAGGGTGGGAATGGCCCCAGGTCATAGCCGATCTCCTTAAGGTCTCTTAAATAAATCCAGGTAGCAGAGAATGTAGCTCAGTTGGTAGAGCCTGGCATGCAGGAAGCCCTGAGTTCAGGGCCTAGAATTACATTACTGAAACATGGTGGTACACGCCAGTAGACTGGGCCCTTAGGAGGAGGAGGCAGGAGGATTAGAAGATCAGAGTCATCCTTAGCTGTATAATAAATTCAAGGTCTGGGCTACATGAGGCCTTGTCTCAAGAAAAAAAAAATTTGCCTATGTTTGTGATGACAGACCTGGGTCCCTTCTCACAGAAGAGCCAGAGCTTAATTACTGGGAAGAGGTCACTCAGGGAACCCCCCTCCCCGGAGGGGCTCCACAGCATTGCGATGTGCACTTGGTATAGAAGCTAGTGTCTAACTAACTGGGAGCTGGCAGGCTGGAGGGTGACTTTTGTACTTGCTTTATGGTGCTGGGCAGATGTCCGAGGGTCCCAGGGTCAGTTACTGCTGTAGGCAGGCACGATGTAAGAGAAACGGCCACAGCTGCCCAGGGGTAGATGATGCCTGCGCCTCAGCATCCTTGGTGTTGGAGGCTTCGGGAGAGGAGTCTATGATGGGACCATGGTTGCTGCCTTGCTCTGAGGGGCTGCTACATAGTATGATTGTTCAAGAATAGTCAGGCATCCATATTGTTAGTGCTATTTAAAAGCAGATTCAAAAATGTAAGGGCATTTCAGGCCACTGGTGTGCACTGATGTTTTGGGAAACTACCATGAGTAATGGTTTGTTTTCAAGCATTTCAGTGCTTGGGAGGCAGAGCCTCTGCATGCTAGGCCTCATGGGCTTTCTCAGCAACACAGGTGAAGCGTGTCTAATTCCTTCATTCACAGTGACTCACTGGCTTGATCAGAGTCCTGGTTAGGAGCCTGTGTAAGGTTCCCTTGGGGAGCTTCTGGATTGTCCCCAGGGCAGGATCTGGGCTCACAGGGCTCTGATAAATTCTTTGGTGGCAGCCTGTCCACCTAGTCAAGGCTGCCTGGGAAATGGATGCTGGCTGTGGCCCACAGCAAGGCAAGGGGCATTTAACAGTCCCGCTGGGGAGAGCAGATGAGTCCCTGGTGGCATGCGCTCCTGGCAGTGAGGCCTGGAGTTGTTAGAACCATACTGTCTAGTCCTGGGGCTACATTCTGAGCCAGCAACACAAAACCTCATCTTGTTTCCTTAATTTTTGAGGCATGGCCTCCAGTCAGTGTGCTGATGAGCGCAGCACTAATGGGTCTCCGCAGGGAAGGCAGATGGAGCTGCTGGTCTGGGAGACGTTCTGCAGCCGTAGAGGTAACCAGGGCCCACTCAAGCAGCTGTGATCAATAAAAGATGTCACTCTGCCAGGACTCAGTGATGCCTAGCCTGCTCTCAGAATCTGGCTCCATGCATTTGAGCACCAGGCTTGTAGTGAGGGGGCTTTCTCCTCCATTATTCCTAACCAGCATGTCCAGAGAGCCATTGCGCAGAGAAAAACCATCAGCCTGCACATTTGTTATCCAGCTCCTCTCTCCCAAGGACAATAGCGGATACAATCCCCAAGTGCCTCCTCGCTCTCTGATTCTGCCGCTGTAATTGACGGCATCGTTGTGTGCTGATGAATGTAGACCCTTCATGTCAACGAAACAACACACCCAGGGCCTGACACACTCGGCTCTGTTGGTTTTAATGAGCCTCCCTCCCCTCCAGGAGGAGCAGTGGGAGGATGGGACTCTGCAAGCCTTCATTTGTGTAACACAGAGGCCAAGGGCTCAGTCATTCTCCAAGCCTTACTGAGTGAGGGGAGGTAGAGACTCTACCTGGAGCCATTGCTTGTGCCCAGATGGCTAGACCATGGTTGGCATAGAATACTGACCTTTGACTCTCTCAACTGGGTTACTTGGTTTCTAAATTTTTTCTTTTTATTATTACCCTTCTATCCCTTTGTCCTTACCTTCATTGTAAGATAGGGTCCCTTGGAGTCTATGCTGGCCTTGAACTTGTCCTATCTCTTCCTTCTAAGTTCTGGGAAAACAAGCACATACTATTATTCCTGCTCATTTGATTTTTTTGTTTGTTTTGTTTTGTTCTTTGGTAAATTTCTTTTTCTTATGAGATAAGGTTAAACTCACGATCCTTCTGCCTCAGCTTCCCAAATGCTGTAATTATAAATGTGAGCCACCACACCATATCAGGGAAATAAACCCTTCAAATAGCATAATTATATATATGCAAATATATATAAATTATGTATAAGACTATACATACCAGGATGCTCACACAGCATTATTTATAATAATTCATCACTAGAAATAATTTACATGTCCAGCAGAGGGAGAGATTAAATAAATGATGCTGAGGCCTTTAAGAGACTTTCTTATAGCCACATGTTAAAATCTGGGCTTTGCTATTTCTTTTTAAAGTGTGTGTGTGTGTGTGTGTGTGTGTGTGTGTGTGTGTGTGTGTGTGCGCGCGCACACACAAGCGTGCGTGCATGTGTGCCTGCCTGCCTATGGAGGCCAGAAGAGGGTGTTGATTCTAGGTGGTTGTGAAGCAACTGATACAGGTTTTAGGAACCAATTTAGATCTCCTAAAAGAGCAGTCAGAGCTCTTAGTCATTGTAACACCCTTCTGTCCTGGCTTTGCTATTTACTAACTGAATTTAGGTAAGTTCTATAGCCCTCACACAGACCATTTTCATCTGTGCATCCTGGACATCTGTAGCAGCATTTTTATGGGTGGGTAAATGAGGTGATGTGTGTAAGATGACTGACATGGGCCATAATCAAAGACGTATTGAACATTTGCCATCCCCAGTGGTAGTGCCTGCTAAAGATTGCATGTTTGAAGAGTATTTAATGACAGGAAATAAGCGAAGCGTATAATTTCATATGATCCAAATGTCATTACAGTTCTCTGTTTCTGTGCACAGAGCTGAACTGTCTCTGGAGATGGCAGGTGTGTCTTCCCTTTCATGTCTTTCAATATGTCCCGGCTTTTCTCTGGGAGCCTTTTAGTACTGAAAAGTGTGTATACTTATGTCAAAACCTATCAAAGTATCCACCTTAAATATGTGCAGCATCAAGTGTTTCGGCAAGTGTAGCCATCTATTCCAGAGCCCACCTTCCTCTTCTGTGTTGATGGTGTCAGAGAACTTATGGTGGGGGGAGGATTACAACCTGTGTACAGCCGACCAGAGGGCCGGATTGCTCCTGGCAAGGTGGTCAGCACCCTGGGGTACAGGGTTCCTAGCTGGTGGATGCTGGGTGCTTTCTTGGGGAAATGGATGGCAGTCAGCTGCGGGTGGACAGAGAAGGGAGTGACTGAACCTGCTTGCAGGGCAGGGATGGGGCTCAAAGCAAGTAAGATGTGATGGAGTAGTCAAGATGGTGGCCGATGATCCAGCCACCAGTGAAAGTGAGCAGAGAGTGGCCAGGTGCAGCATGCAGGGGCAGGGAGAGGCCTGAGGGGGTGGGCGTGGAAGCCAGAGCAGAGTTGAGGGATGCTAACTCTCCTTTGTTTGGCCCAGGAGGACGGTGGCTGGCAGGGAGGGAGGCATCTACCCTGAGGATGGGAGCTGTTGGGGCTGGTGTCTAATGGGATGATGGATCTTTCAGGAGGGCAGGGAGGCTGCACACAGGTGCTGGCCTTGAGAGGGGGATGGTCTGGCTCTTTGGAGCCAGAGATCTGTGTGGTGTCTGGAGGCGGGTCACCTGATGAGGAGTGTGCTAGGGTTAGCTTTGCACCCTCTGTATTCCTCCATAGCCACAGGGCTTTCTGGAGTTCCTCCACCTCTCTGAGCCTGAGTTTCTTCATCTTAAAGAGGCACGGGCATGGTACCTGCTGCACGGATGAGTGATGTCATCAGTGGGTGATGATGGTGTGTCATCTCCATTCCACTTTGTTGATGCTCGGATTGGTCATTTGTTGCTGTGACAGAAAGCCCGGGAGAAACAACTTGAGAAGGGGAAGGTTTATTTTAGCTCAGATTCAGAGTGTCAGCCCGTCCTAGGTGCGGTTTGTGATGCCGGGAGCACGTGGTGGTGAGTGTTCCTATCACAGCAGACTGGGAAGCAGAGGAAGGCAGGACTCAGGGGCCTCAGGAATGTTCTTCCAAGGCTGCCCTGTGGCCTGCTTCTCCCAGCCAGACAGACCCCACCTCCTGAAGGACTTGCAGCCCTCCAGATAGTGCCACAAAGTAGCACTTAATTCCGTCTGAGACATTTCCCATGCCACCCTTAACACTGCAGTAAAGAGGGCTTTCTTTTGGTTTTCAGATTGCCAGTGTCCTGACCTCCCAGATGCCCTCTGCTCTCCTCACCCTGGTAAGTGGCTGGTGTATGGGAGCTATGCCGTACTTAGCCCAAGGAGATGCTTATAGGGAGCTAAACACTTGTGCCTGCTGCTTGGAGGGTTATATAGTTAGGGGCCAGCCTGGGCTAAATAAGACCTGGCCTCAGCAAAAGATACTGAGAAATGGCCATCTGTGATAAGTAGGGACACGTGTGTAGTCCTGATGGCTGCTGTGCCTAAGATGCCATCCTCAAGTCTGCATGGGGGGCACTGTGCCTGGTTTAACCAGCATTCCTGGTTAAAAACAGACTGGGAGATGTAACCGTGTCCTGCTTAGGCTCATGGCATTTCAGGTATAGATTGTCACTCTTTATTCACACCTTGAATCCACTGTGATAATCCAATTTGAAAATCACACTCTTGCACTTTAAGGAGTGCACAACCTGGGGTGGGGCGGGGTTGTGGGGTGGGGCGGGGTTACGGGGTGGGGCGGGGTTGTGGGGTGGGGAGGGATTGTGGGGTGGGGTGGGGAGGGATTGTGGGGTGGGGAGGGATTGTGGGGTGGGGAGGGATTGTGGGGTGGGGGCGGGGGTTGTGGGGTGGGGAGGGATTGTGGGGTGGGGAGGGATTGTGGGGTGGGGAGGGGTTGTGGGGTGGGGGCGGGGTTGTGGGGGTGGGGTGGGATTGTGGGGTGGGGAGGGATTGTGGGGTGGGGAGGGATTGTGGGGTGGGGCGGGGTTGTGGGGTGGGGCGGGGTTGTGGGGTGGGGAGGGATTGTGGGGTGGGGAGGGGTTGTGGGGTGGGGAGGGGGTTGTGGGGTGGGGTGGGGTTGTGGGGTGGGCCGGGGTTGTGGGGTGGGGCGGGGGTTGTGGGGTGGGGCGGGGTTGTGGGGTGGGGGCGGGGTTGTGGGGTGGGGAGGGATTGTGGGGTGGGGAGGGATTGTGGGGTGGGCCGGGGTTGTGGGGTGGGGAGGGGTTGTGGGGTGGGCCGGGGTTGTGGGGTGGGCCGGGGTTGTGGGGTGGGCCGGGGTTGTGGGGTGGGGAGGGGTTGTGGGGTGGGGAGGGGTTGTGGGGTGGGGAGGGATTGTGGGGTGGGCCGGGGTTGTGGGGTGGGGAGGGGTTGTGGGGTGGGCCGGGGTTACGGGGTGGGGCGGGGTTACGGGGTGGGGCGGGGTTACGGGGTGGGGCGTGGTTGTGGGGTGGGGCGGGGTTGTGGGGTGGGCCGGGGTTGTGGGGTGGGCCAGGGTTGTGGGGTGGGCCAGGGTTGTGGGGTGGGCTTCTGGTATGCAGGCAGGGCTTGGGAGCATTGTTGTACATTTGCCTACCTTGATGGTAGGGCTCACACACAGAGCCCTTCTTGCTTCCAGAATGACCTTCTCTCCTTTGCTAATGGATTTATACAGAAATACCCTCCACACCCACACCTCACACCCCCACCCCCACTTCCTCTTGTTCTCTGTGCTAAGGTGCTTTCTGTGGCTAAGCATGGAGGCTAGCTGCCATGATTACAGTCAGAGCTGGCCCAGTGTGTTTTATCTGGGATTGCAATTGGACAGGGGTCAGCTTGAATCTCTCTCTCTCTCTCTCTCTCTCGCTCTCTTTCTGTGTTTCTCTGTGTAGCTTTGAGAAACAGGCTGGCCTCAAACTCACAGAGATCCGCCTGCCTCTGCCTCCCAAGTGTTGGGATTAAAGGCGTGCGCCACCACCGCCTAACTAGCTTGAGATTCTTGAGAAAGCTGTGTCTGCTGAGTGTCTCCCTTCTCTGGGTGGCTTGCTGTGCACCAGGGATGCTGTAGATGCAGTGTGAATAGAGTGCTCTGACCCATCCTGACCGTCCTTGCTGTGCACCAGGGATGCTGTAGATGCAGTGTGAATAGAGTGTTCTGACCCATCCTGACCGTCCTTGCTGTGCACCAGGGATGCTGTAGATGCAGTGTGAATAGAGTGTTCTGACCCATCCTGACCATCCTTGCTGTGCACCAGGGATGCTGTAGATGCAGTGTGAATAGAATGCTCTGACCCATCCTGACCGTCCTTGCTGTGCACCAGGGATGCTGTAGATGCAGTGTGAATAGAATGCTCTGACCTATCCTGACCATCCTTGCTGTGCACCAGGGATGCTGTAGATGCAGTGTGAATAGAGTGCTCTTACCCATCCTGACCGTCCTTGCTGTGCACCAGGGATGCTGTAGATGCAGTGTGAATAGAATGCTCTGACCCATCCTGACCTGTCCCTTGCTGTGCACCAGGGATGCTGTAGATGCAGTGTGAATAGAATGCTCTGACCCATCCTGACCGTCCTTGCTGTGCACCAGGGATGCTGTAGATGCAGTGTGAATAGAGTGTTCTGACCCATCCTGACCGTCCTTGCTGTGCACCAGGGATGCTGTAGATGCAGTGTGAATAGAATGCTCTGACCCATCCTGACCGTCCTTGCTGTGCACCAGGGATGCTGTAGATGCAGTGTGAATAGAGTGTTCTGACCCATCCTGACCATCCTTGCTGTGCACCAGGGATGCTGTAGATGCAGTGTGAATAGAGTGTTCTGACCCATCCTGACCGTCCCTTGCTGTGCACCAGGGATGCCTCTGCTTCTTCTTCCTCTAATTTTCTTTTTTCTCTTTTTCTTGATTCCTGTTTGTATTCTTTGAGACAGGATGTCTATATAGCACAGGCTGGCTTTGAACTGGTGATCCGCCCTTCTCAGTGCCCCTCCCCCTCGTGCCACAACTACAAGCATGCACCATTGTCGCTGGATTTCAGTTTTTCACATTGCACTAGGGGAGAAAGGCCCAGCTTAGAGTTACCCTGCCATGGAGCCTGTTGGTCAGGGAAAGGCTAGGGGCGCAGGATGTGCTGGGCTGTGGGACAGGCCTTGTGTGACACACCCGTTCTCACACCGCCCTTTTCTCCCCACAGCGTGGTGTCAACACAGATAGTGGCAGTGTGTGCAGAGAGGCCTCCTTCGAGGGCATCAGCAAGTGAGTCCCTCCTTCTTACCCCTCTTACCATCGTCAGCTGACCTTTCCCAGGCTGGCCACATGCCAGGGAAGCGTGCTAAAACGGATTTGATCAAGTGTTTGGAGGAAACGTGTCCGTCTTTTACCTTAAGGAAAGCACCCCTCCTTGTTGGGCTGCATCTTGGAAGAGCCCTGGGAGCCCTGGGCTCTGTGTGGCGGGAGCAGCTGTTTTCTTTCTTTTGTTTTTTCCATTGATCGATTGGTTGTGTGTGTATGTGGGGGGTGAGTGTACGTGCCATGATGTGTGTGGAGGTCAGAGGACAACGTGTGGGGCTGGTTCTTTCCTTCCACCACGTCTGTCCTGGGAATTGAACTGAGGTTTGCAGGCTTGTTGGCAAAGCTTGTTTACCCTTTAAGCCACATTGCCCACATCCACTGCCTAGGCTGGCCTAGAATGCCACGGGCCTGAGCTTTGTAGTTTTGTTTCGGTATCAATCCCATCCCCAGTCCTGGGCCAGCCCAGTTCTCAGCAACTCCCAGGGTCTCCTGCTGCCCTAATCTTTTACTCACTCCCCAGTTAAAAGCTCTGGGTTGAGCCCTTAATCCCTACTCAGGGAACTGGCTCCTTCTCTGGGCAAGAGGGTAATAGGTCTACCTCCTTGTCACCCCTCACCCATGTCCCCAGAGAGTGCTGCCTGCTAGCTGCACCACGTGTGTCACCAGGCCAAACTGGATCCTAGGAGATGGGCTGCTACCCTTATAGTTGGGCCCTTGAGGCAGCAAGCAGCCCCAGCCGTGGTCCTGCACGTGAGCCACAGTGTCCCCAAGCACAAGTTCTCTATAACTACTCTGTCCTCTGCTGTCCTTTTGTGGACTGAGGTGGTACCGGAAAAGCTCCTAATGACTATGTATGAGGCTCAGCCATGGAGGGATCTGTGTCTGTGCGATGGAGGAGTGATTAGCAGGGATTACGAGCTCATGAATATGCATCTTTCTCCAACCTTAAGAGCTGTGGGGCAGGGGCACTGGCCATCCAGTTTGCTTCTTACAAGGCACAAACTGCTGCACCCTCTTGGGGATTTGCCATAAGTGGCCTGGTGGTGATCAGCCCAGCTTGCTGAAATGCCAGCTGCCATGTCACTGCCTTCCCCGTCTAATACCCCCCCTCCCCACACTGCCAGGTCTACGCCCCAATATCCTGCTCACCTTTCTTATGCTTCTGCAGCCTCTGCCTGGGCTTGGCCATGTGGGAAACACCCTGGCTCACTGACTGGCCCTGTCACTTTGGCATGTAACACAGCACTGCTTGGGTGACAGGGACCAAAGGAGACTGTTGGGGGCTAGAGCCTTCATGGTAGCTCAGATCCGTTACCCGTGAGCCTTGGTCTCGCCAGCTGTGTAGTAGCCAAGCGGACCCAGCACGGTCCGAGGCCTGATTCCTATTTAGCTGTAAGCTGCAGCATCTGGACCCCACCAGAGGATGCTGAGTTTCTCCCAGGCCGGGGTCTGGTGGATTCTGTGACTGGTGAGGTTCTGGGGTGAAGCTGGAGCAGACCCTTGCTGCACTGGGAGGTTTCACTAAGACCAGCAGGAGGGACCCACTTGGCCATCATATCACTACAGGCCAGAAGGGAGGCCTTATCCTGTCTCACTGAGAGGGTCCCCTGCAGCAAACTCCAGCCTTGCCCCCCTCTTGGCGGACCCCAGCTTTTGCCCCTTGCTCCTCCCCTGAGTCTTTTGGGTCCTTCTCAGAACCCTGGGGAGCCTGCAAGCCGTTACCCCACAGACTTCTTGAGGCTTGTCTGTCTGGTTTTGTTCTTGAGACAAGATCTCTCTCTGTAGCGTAGGCTGGCCCAGAAGTCACAAGTCTCTTGCCATAGGTGTGCACCACCATGTCCAGCTTGTCCAGCTTGGAGACCTTCTCATGAGAGCCAGGGATTGCTTTACCTTCTCACAGTCTTCCCACTCAGGGGATGCACATACATGGTGGGGACGGCCTGTGGTGTTCCCCAGGCCACATAGCAGCTGAGCTGGCTTTGTTTCCACATCCATGTGATGAGCCGCTGGCCAGAGTCTGATGCTGATCTCTGTTTTGGAGTGTATGGCCTATGTGGAGAAACAGATAGGCCGAATAGATGTTTATTCAGGGAGAAATCACTTATAACATCCTGGTCCCAAGGGTGCCTCTGGATGCTCTCCTGTCTGCCTCCCGCCAGCAAGAGAGCCCTCCTGGGCTGCTCCTCAGACCTAGTTCCCCCAGGTCACATCTGCCCCTGTCTCCACCCCAGTGGGCGTGGTCAGTGCCACAGATGCCGGGGAAGTGAATATCTCACTACAATGTATGGTACCCACACTCCCTCCCCTCTTTGGTGCAAAGTAGGCTTGTCCTTTACACCCCTTTCTATGGGCCTCACCTCTCACTCTGTCACCCTTTATGGAATTTTCAGGGGTTTCTGTGCTGGGACAAGAGCCTTCATCGGGTGTCCACTACCCTAAGTGCCATGAGCACTGACGTGGGGTCCTGGCCATTGGTTCCAGTGGCCCTAGCTCCTTCCAGTTAAAAGTCTGTGACCCTGGGCTCTGGCTGTAGCCCAGTCCCTTGCCTCTCGCCAGTCAGGTAGCTAGCATCTCTGTGTTCTCACCTACTGGTCTCTGGGTCAGGCTGGGAGAGCCCTTGTCTTCCATGGCCACCATGACTCAGGATTCCACTTACCTGCCTGCGGCGTGTTCCAGCTGTTTGCTGGATAATAATAGCCTGTTCCCTAAGCAAGATAAATCTTGCCGTTGCCCTAGTTTCCCGTGTGCAACTGTTCTTTCCCCTCTCACCTCTCACTGCCTGGATGAAGCTCCACATTCCTGGGGTTTTTGTTTTCCATCCCTTTAAACGTCTCTCTTGAAGTGCCTCCATCTTGGATCTCCGTTTGACCTTCTTCCTGGAAGGGTACTCAGGCTCGGCTCTCTCTGTATGTCCTGACAGGCCTCTCAGGCTGCTGTCTGCCTTTGGCCTGCATGAAGGAGGGGCAGCAGTAGCCTTGGTAGTCTACCCTTCCCAGACCCAGCTGTGATCCAGCCACGCAGTTGGTTTGTGACCTCAAAGTGTGGCTTCATGGGGTTACCTACCTGGGGAACTGTCCCACGTGTGTAGCCGCAGGCCTTCCTCAACTGCCCAGGACCAGAGGCAGGCCGCCTGAAGCCCACAGAAGGATGTATGCCCCTAGTCTGAGAGTGGTGGGAACAGTAGATGAGCAGCGGGAAGAGGGAGGTGGAGGTGAGGAAGGCGGTAGATATGTCCCAGGTCACAGAGATCGTGCTAGAGTCACAAGCCATTGGGCTCACAAGAGGCTATGGCTTCTGATTATTTTGTGGTCTTTGTGTTCAGTGAGGAGTCTGCCCATGGGGCCATGCTTAGTCCTGTGGTCTCAGTGTTGGGTGAGGAGTCTCCCTAGCCCATGGGGCCATGCTTAGTCCTGTGGTCTCAGTGTTGGGTGAGGAGTCTCCCTAGCCCATGGGGCCATGCTTAGTCCTGTGGTCTCAGTGTTGGGTGAGGAGTCTCCCTAGCCCATGGGGCCATGCTTAGTCCTGTGGTCTCAGTGTTGGGTGAGGAGTCTCCCTAGCCCATGGGGCCATGCTTAGCCTCTGTGATCATGGTGTTGGGTGAGGGGTCTGCCCATGGGGCCATGCTCAGCGGCCCTGTTGGATCAGAGACAAGTTCCAGGGAGCGTTTAGAAAGAGGCCTCTGCATGAACTCAGGGGGACATATGGTAGACAGGAGCCAGGGGCAAGGACTCATTGTGAGGCCCTACTGTGGGTACAAGAGCTGTTCTGCAGCTGGAGCTGGAAGAGGCAGCGATAGAGGGGACAGATCTGCAGTGAAGAGGACTGGAGATGTCTTCCTGTGAACTCTGGGCACCCAGGGCCCCTGGCACACTCAGCTCCTCTAGCCCATGACCAAGCCAGATGGATCTTTGCTAGTGTCTGAGGAAGTAGATTTTAGGTCAGAGTTTCCTGAGACAGGGAAACTGACTATGAAGATTCTATGGGGTATGCATGTGGCCTGAGTTGAGGGTCACCTATCCATCCATCAGAGTCAAGACATATAATGGGGATGCTTCCCAGGCACGATACCATCCCCCTTCCAGACAGGCACAACCTGTGCCCATGAGTTCTGGGTGGAGACAGCAAATTACAGAGTTTGCCGTTTCATGCCGTCATCTGAGAGAGAAATATGGTCCTTATTTCACATCAGCTGGCTATTGAGAATAAGCATATTTCTTATCTTTTGGCATTTAGTTAAATTGCCTTGCATATTTGAAGACAATTGGTTACAAATTAATTCCATTTAAATAAGCAGTTAAATATGAAATGCTGAATTTGGGACTTGTTAATGCAAGGACATTAATATTCAACGATGTGAATTTTAAAGCCCAGGAAGTTAGAGGGACATTATTAAAACTTGACAATTTAGAGCGAAATGCCAATTTGTGGTTTGGGGGCCATGACTTTGGGGTAACTGTTAACTTGCATATCAAGTTAATATTTAGGATTGGATTTCAAATGATGACCCATGGAAATCTCCATGAAGGGAGAATCTGCCCCAACCCCCTACAGGGGATGGTAGTGCCTTCGTAGTTGGGTGGGGAGTGCGTCCTTCGGTGGGTTGGAAACTCTAGGGTGGGGGTGGGGAGTGGACATATTCCCATTAGTGAAAGTGTTACTAGCACTGAGGCCACACTGTGATATTTAAATCTCGTCACTTAGAGTTAAATCTGCCCACACTGACTTTTGGACTCCTCTGTGTGTCTGAGTGTGTTTGTCTGGGATTCTATGTGTCTGTGCCTTGGTCTGTGTGTGCCACCTAGGTCTGCATGTCCATGTTTATGTGTTTGTGGATTTTTCAGAATGTGTGTGTATGTCTGTTTCTAGATGACCCTGTGCTATATACGTCCGCCTTTGTCTGTGCATATGGAATAATTCCTCCATTTGGTTTCTGCAGTCTCACTAACAGTTAACCACAATCTGAAAATACTACTTGGAAAATTCTAGAAATATGTAATTCATAGGGACCCCAAGTTGGTGCTCAAGGCCTTCAGGATAGGACACCCATTGAAGGCTCCTGTTCCAGCAGAGGAGTCCCTGATTATGCAGTGGGTGACAGAGTGAGAGGTGAGGCCTAAAGAAAGGAGGCATTTGGGGACAGACATGGGATGCTATTCACGGGCCAGGCGTCCCAAAGCACACATCCCGCTATTGACTCTATTCTCAGCCCTCACTCACATCCTGCAATTTTGAGAGGGTCTCACTGTGTAGTCCCCTTACCTCAGCGCCCTGCATGGCTGAGGTTGCACGCGTTGCTATGCTTGGCCAGTTCATGAGTTTGTGTTGTTCTGGGATCCCATCTTGCATGATTTACCCGGGGCATGTGACACTCCACTGCCAGTCTCTCAGTAGCTGTTTCTGTTATCAAATCAGCCAGTACTTGTGTTCAGATAGCCACTATTTTACTTATAATCAATTTTCCAAAGCACAAGTCTATTGATGCTGGCAATCTTATTATAGTATGTTGTAATTGTTCTATTTTATTATTACTTATCACTAGCCTCCTGTTGTGCCTAATTTGTAAATTACATTTTACCATAGCTATTCATTCTTAGGGGAGGGAACCATGATGTATCTAATATTCAGTCCTGTCTGTATTCTCAGGCATCCACTGGGGTTCTACGAATGTGTCCCTCCTAGGACACAGGTGACACCTCTGTCCACCTGTTTGGTCTTGGGTATCTCTCGTGTGCACATCTGGCTGTGTCTTCTGTCCAGTCTTCTAAGTTCACAGCTGTCTTTTATGTGTGTTTGTGCAGTGTCTGTGTGCTGTCATCCTTGCTGCCCATGCATGCACATGTGTGTGCTTGTGCAGCCACGTCTGTATGCACACGGCATGGGCACAGTGTGAAATGTGTGCAGCAGGCTGTTGAGTAGCTAGTCCAGCCCTTCCCCTACGGCAACAGTTGTGAGATGGGAGGGGCGTCTGTGTTGTCTTGATCTATGTGACCTGCTGCTAGATCTGCTGTCTTTAATCTCTTTGATACTCCGCAGGTGGGACTTTGATTCTTTTGTCTCAGATTTGTTTATTTTTATTTTGTGTGTATGAATGTTTGCCTGTGTGTATGTGTGTAAGGCAGTGCCCTTAGAGGCCAGAAGAGGGCACTGGATCTCCTTGAGTAATAAGTGGTTGTGTGCTGGTGCGTGCTGGCGACTGAGCCCAGGGCCACTGTAAGAGCAGCAGATGGTCTTAACCACTGAGCCATCCCTTAGGCCCAGGACTTTCAAGCTGATGTAGAACCAAGAAACTTCGCTTGTACTTCAAGATCTCCGAATCTGCAGAGATGAATCCTCTAAGGCTGCTGGTACCTTTTCTCGTCCGTTCCTGCTACCTGGTGTCAGGATAAGGCTATTCCTTATCGGCTGTAATTCCAGTAAAGAGGCCATGGAGAGTCCCTGGGCTGTATGAAATCAGGGATTCACAGCTCTGCCTGTGCCTCTGCGGGGGAGGGGAGTCATGGACTCTAGAAGGCCAAGGCTTACCCATGGGTCCTCTGCTGGTTCTTGTGCTCACCGGGTTGAATGGCCATCATTATCAATTTGGGAACATTTGCATCACCTGAAGGCAGCCCTGTGCCCTCATGAAGTCAGTGTCATTTCTCCAGGCCCCTCAGCCAGTGCAGCTCCTAACGGCCCGTCTCTCTGTTCACCTGACTGACACTTGATGACAAATAGAGTCATGCTCCTTTGGAGTTTTTGCATCTGGAATCTTTCTCCTGTCATTGTGTGTGTGTGTGTGTGTGTGTGTGTGTGTGTGTGTGCATGCGTGTGTGCATGCGTGTGTGCGCATGCATTTGCATGCATTGTCACATGTGTATGTATGCATGTGTCTGTTGGTGAATTTTTAAGGCATTACAAGCAAAAGCTACATTTATGCTATCTCCATATTTGCCTGTATGGTCACGTTTACCTGTGACCCCCTACTAAAGTTTTATTTTTATTCATGTCTGTGTATGTTTGTGTGAGTGTATACATTGGTATTCAGTGTTTGCAAAAGGCAGAAGAGGGCATTAGATCCCCTGGAACCTGAGTTACAGGAGCCACCCAAAATAGGTTCTGGGAATTGAACTCCTTTCTTTTGGAAGAGTGATATACACTCTTAACAACCAACCATCTCTCTGGCACCAACCACGGCCTTTAAAAAACCAAACAAAAGGTCCTCTTTTTAAGCACTCACTCGTGTGTGTGTGTGCATGTGTGATTCATGGTGCACATGTGGAGGTATGAGGACAGCTTGCAAGAGTTTGTTCTCTTCCACCAAGTAGGTTCCAGGAATCGAACTTAAGATCTCAAGCTTACAGCAAGCGCCTTTACTCACTGAGCCATCTCCCTGGTCCGTCCATGCCTGTTTCTTCTTCTTGTAGATTCCCTTCACCCCGTAGTGCCCTTTCAGCCTGAAGGAATCCTTGTAATGTACTAGAGATAATTCCCCATATTTTGTTTATCTGAGATGTTTCAATTCTCCATTTTGTTTTAGCAAAGCAAGGAGACTATTTTGAAAGGATTTGCCATAACCATAGTGAACAGGGTCCAAACAGCTATCTGTCTTCTCCTTCATCCCCATCTTCTTGGGAGCTGATGCCTGCTTCCTTGTAACCCTTCTCTAGGGCAGCCATACCCTCCTGGCCTCAGAGAACTCACCTCTTCCATGTTCTTACACTGACACCAGTGTAAAAAAGTCCCCTTGGCATACACCACGTCAATCCCATGGTCCATGCAGGCCCAGGCCTCCACAATGGCAGGCATGTTGCTCAGAATATGCATGGCACGTAACGCACCGTACCATGGACAGACTCCTAGGCACCATAATGGAAGGCAAGTAGTCGATACCAACCTTGAAGCCTATGTGACAGTCCACATGGCTGCTATTCTCAATCTTGATGGTGGTGATGGTAGCATTCATACCCTTGAGTAGCGTATTGCCACAGTACAGGAGGCAGCAGGACTTGTACTTGGCTGTGCTGGAGGAGGAGGGTCACATGTTACCATCTCATGGGCAGTCCCAAAGAAGCTGCTGTTGATCTTTACCACCAGCAGTTGTCACTAGAGCCTCTGCAAAGACAACTGGAGCATGGGCAGCCAAGGGGAAGTAGGTACCAGGGTGGGGCAAAAATTGGTCTAAAACTCTGTCAGATTCATGGCGGGGCCCCTTTGAGGGACAACCACTGTGATGGAGGAGGCAATCTGAGTGATGGGGCAGCTGAGGTTGGCACAGGGTGGGTGTTTGATGTCATATAGCCTCGTCCACCATAAAGGCACAGTCTGAGTGCTCCAGGGTGGTGTGAGGACCAAGTTAGAGCTATAGGGTGCAAAGACTTGGAGAAGTCCAGTTCAGACATCTTGCCACAGTCTGCAGAGCGGTAGAACCAGAGTCCTCAACAAAGCTGGGCAAATCCAGGAAGCCCTGAGACCTTGGAGATCTTGCCAGCAATGTAATGGCCATGGACATAGTTGTTAGTGGCATCCTTTGGGTCATTTTGGATCTTATTAATTACTGTGGACTCCAGATTCACAAAGGATGCCCGTGACTGGCGCCAGTTCAACAGAAAGTGGTGAAGGAGTTGGACGCCTGTCCATCAGGCTGAATCCTGTGTCCTAGACAGTCGGGCTCACAGCAGGCCTTACCCATCTGGACATGTGAACGGACATGATTCACATACGACGGACCCTGATGGTGCAGTGCTTCTCATATAGTCAAGGTCACAGGTCACAGTGAGACCCATCTCCTTCATTTTCAACGCATATCTTTGCTGAAATTTTTTGTTCTCAGTTTGTTTTTTCCTTCAATTTTTTGAACATTATCCCGCTGCCTTCTGGTTGTCATAGTTTCTGGTGCAGAATTGGCAGCTGATCAGGACATACCGTGTGTGTGTGTGTGGTGAATTGAGTTTCTCATTATGCTAGCAAGATGCAGCAGCTCCTTGATTGACAGCTGTGTTGTATCCCATCAGCGTTTTGTAAGCTTAGAAACTGGAAATTGAACCACCCAGTTGTAGATCCTCCTCATAACATCCCGGTCAGAAAACTAAAAAAGTCCCAAGCCCACCCTTGTCAGTTCAGGACCACCGACGTCTGCACTGTTGACGGTAGTGTGTCTTAGAGACTGCTAACTTTGAGGGGGTGGAGCGATGGCTCAGTGGTTGAGAGCACTGACTGCTCTTGCAGAGGCCCCAGGTTCAGTTCCCAGCGCCGGCATGGCGGCTCACAGCTGTCTGTAACTGCAGTCCCAGCACTCTTTTGACCTCCACAGGCACCAAGGATGCACATGGGACACATAAACATGTAGGCAAGATGCCCATGGAATGAATTTGTTTTTAAAGAAAGATGTGTAGGTGTGTGTGTGTGTGTGTGTGTGAAGATATGTGATTTTTATCAAATTAGTGAAAAGTTTGGTTTCCTCGCCCTAGTATTCTTTCTGTTCCCCTTTTCTGATACTTCCATTATGTGTGTATTAATGTACTCAATAAAGGGTCTACCTAGTAGAGAAGAGGGGGCGGTTTAGAGTCAAAATTTTTGGTCTCCAACTGACCGTACTTTGGCAGCCCAGGCCTCCAGGACTACACAGGTGAGCATCAGCTTTCTCCAGGCCAGAGAGCCAGGAAGTTAAAAGGTGGGGGGGGGGTCTCTCTTGGTTATGGTGTGTCTGTGTTGAACAAAGTACCTATCGGTGGGATACGCTAGGTCATCCAACTAATGCCATTGGTGTATTTTCTCTTTATAGGTTCAATGTCAACAACACGATTCTTCACCCAGAGATCGTGGAATGGTGAGTGCCGGGCTTGACTACCTGGGCTCACCGTGCTCAGCTCATGGAGGATGGGGCCAGTTCTCCTGACCACCCTCCTTAGGGAACCAGTCTTGACATATGCTCCGCCCTGCTAGCCATGCTCCTCATGGCTGTGGCTCTTACATGCAGCACAGCTGGTTTGTCAGGTGGCTTTGGAGTGACCCTCTGAGGCTGGGGGGTAGCTTCTGCGTGTCATGGCTTTTCTTCCCAGGCCCCCGAGAACAGTGTCTATGGTTGAGTGGCTACACTCACTGTGAAAGTGGGGTAGACCTCACTGGGAGGGGTGCAGAAGGCTTCTCACTCCTGATCTGAGTGTGGTGACATTTCCAGCCTAGCTGGGAGATCTGTGGGAATATTGTGTCCTAAACACAATGGAGGTGAGGGTGGTGCACCATGAGGTGTGGGGGTTGGGAATCGAGGGGCTAAGGAACCCTTTGTTCAAGGACATGGAGGAAAGGATGGTGGCCTTGTGTGGTCATGCAAAGCCGGGGAAGTGGCCTGAGTGGACTGAGGGACATTGTTCCTGTCAGGGTTTTGACTTTGTCCTGAGAGGAGATGAAAGCTCAGGGAACCCGAAGGACTTAGGAGAGTATACATCAGGTTTGTATTTCCAAAAGCCGTTTCGGTGTCTAGCCAGAGATTTGGCTAGAGGCTGGAGTGGGAGCCAGTGGCCACGTGGTCATGGAGGCAGGATGACAGAGCTGAGGAACAGATCTGAGACTTCTCAGGAGAGTTGAGTCTGGAGCAGGTGCCCTTGGGAGATGGGTAGAGACCCAACAGCTGCTGTCACAGCCACACCCTCAGTGAGGATGGAGACTGTCGTTCAGGCCCATAGCATCTCTCCTTGTTTGTTTCAAATAACCCACATCTGTCTCTGTAGCTCACTCAGCAGAACAAGGGCCTCACTGTGACTCCCCCGCCCCCAGGTCACTGACAGTGGGGAGTGTGTTGGAGGCCACAGCTGGCTTGTGAGCATCCAGCATCTCCCCCAGGGATGAGCCATTAGTTCATCATTTTAGAGCAAACTCACTTTAATTCCAGTGACATTTGCAAGGCTCCAAGGTGGAGTCTGCGCTTATAAGAATATCTCGCCACAGCTTTATTAAAGTGAGCAGCAAAAAGGACTTATTTGGCATTTGATGGTAGTAGAACAATTTCAGAAATGTCACATTGTCCTTGCTGCCTCAGGGGTGTGTTTTAATAGCACAGGGCCCAGTGTCTGCAGTGATACAGTTGATCTTGGCAGATCCATCATAGCCACAATTATTGCCCTCCTTGCCAGAACCCAGGGAGGGGCTCTGGGTGCAACAGCAGCAGGTCCTGCGTCTCCCAAAGCAAATGGGCTTTCTGTGATATTAAAGTGCCATTTGGTGTTACATTTTTGGGAGTTCCTGGGTTTTGCTCATTTGTCTGGGGGTGGGAGTGTTACCATATACCTCAGGCTGACCGCACACTGAGGATCCACCTGCTTTCCCAGCCCCAATGCCGGATCTGTAGGTGCATGGCAGCATACCCAGCTGCTCCAGGTCTCGAATGCGCTGGCTGCCTGTTCTCTCCCGCTTGGCCCTATGGAGGGAATCTATTCAGGGGAGACTTTCAGCTCAGGTATAGACTAGTCTCTGTCCTTTTCAGGACCACTGGACGTTTCTGTCTCCACAGCTTCAGCTGAGACTGTGGTCATAGCCACCTTATGGTGAGAGTAGAAGGATTTGCCCATCTCTTCATCTGCCCGTGCTGATGAGAGAAGTCGAGCTGGCGTGTCTTAACAACACTGGTCCCTACCGAGACTCCCCATGTGAAGCCTGTGCTGATGAACACTGGGCAGGACACCATTTCGAGAGGTTGTTGCTATTGATAGCTGAGGCAGTAGTTATTCCCATGCTACAGATGAAGAAACTGAGGCCCTGAGAGTTAGTGACTCACCCAAGGAAAAGCCATGAGTCCAGGCTGTTGGCTCCAAAGTCTTACACAGCCTCTTGTAGCTCAGCTAACTGCCTTGGAGTCCGTGGCCTGCCAGAGTGCCCGCTTCCCCCAGCTCACTCCTAGCCCCTCTGGAAGGCCAGCTGGCTGGAATCCTTGGGTTGAGTCTTGGGTTAAGTACAGCAGGACCAGAGTGCAGGGGCTGTGTAAGAAAGATCCCTGGCATCCACACGATAGCCCAGGACTAGATTAGCATTTTGGGCATGTGGGGGCTTTTCTAGGACCAGTCTGATTGAGAGGTCTCCTGGCATGGGGAGCCAGTGCTCTCAGGTTTTATGTTTTGTTTTTGGAAGGCATTCGTTTCCTTTGTGTGACTGTTTTATTGTTTTCCATCCTCTCAAGCGGCGCCTTTTTTGATTTCCTGTAAATTCCTCCATAATTGTACTCTTCCCACAAACACAAGATCATAACTGTACATTTCTTTCCTTTTGTTCAATATTGCGGCTGGAACGTAACAGGTCAAAAGTTGAATCTTACTAAGAGCAGGCATGTCACTGCCATAATTCAGGCTGGGCTTCTGCTGTAGCTGTTTCGTAGAGGATGAAATTGATCTGGAGGTTGGGTAGGAAGTAGAAGGAGATGCCTTCATCTCTGTCATCACTCTGTGCCAGGGGCTGCAGCTAAGTACTCATGGAAGAGTGAGTGTATCCATGGCTGCTGTGCATCTCCTTAGGTTTTAAGTGAGACCATGTTCATTTGAGTCATACGCCGGTTTTAGAAGTGTTAATTACACGGAGTGAAAGCAGCCTGCATGCATTAAAATTCCGGCTGTAGGTAATATTTCTGCTCTTCTGCCTACTGCATGCACAGGAGTCAAACTGCAGGGGGCTTCAGGACACAGGTGTGCCAGAATATGTCCCAACTTTTAAAATGTGTGCAGACGATGCCCTAGATTCCTGGCATATGGGAAGTTCTGCAATGGGACCACCATCTGTGTCTCCTGCTGACTAGTCCCGGCATCCTTCACAGACCCTTCCTTCATGTAAGGACTGGAGATCCCCAAGGCAGAGAGAGAACTTGGTTCCTGCACACCAGAAAGTGGGGGACGGGATGTGGAGCATCACTGTGCCCAAAGGCCTGTGCCAGACAGACATCTGGCCGAACAAATTAGATCTGGTCACAAAAACTGGGCAGAAAGGAGAGCAGTCACTGTGGCTGTATTGGGAATATGGAGAACAGGAGTCTCAGCCATTGGTGGACATTGTATGAGGTTTTTTTTTGGGGGGGGGGTTGGGCTGGGCTGGGCAGGACTGAGAAATCTGTACAGTTAAGCAATTTGGGTTAACTTGTGATCTGGCTGGTCCTTATCTCAGTTCTGGTTGTGGCAGGTGACTCCAGAGAAGTCTTAGCACTTGAGGGGACCATCTAGTTCCCACGAGGTGGCTTCCTGCTTGGGCAGACAGGACTCCCTCCCTCCCTGTTCAGGGGGTGACCTGTCTGTGAGATCAAAGTGACTGCAGGCTCAGAACTATAATCGGAGTCGAGGACTTGTCTGCGGAGGGTGTCTTAGTTACAATCCCCATTGCTGTGATAAAACACCATGACCAAAAGAAACTTGGGGAGGAAAGGGTTTACTTGGCTTACATTTCTATATCACAGTCCATCTCTGTAGGAAGTCAGGGCAGGAACTCAAGGCAGGAGCCTGGAGGCAGGAGCTGATGCAGAGACCATGGAGGATGCTGCTCACTGGCTTCTCCCCAGGGCCTACTCAGTTTGCTTTCTCATGCACTCCAGGCTCACCTGCTTAGGGTCTGCACCACCCACAGTGGGCTGGGCCCTTCCTCATCAATCATCATTCAAAACAACACCCCATGGGCTTGCTTACCAACCAGTTTTATGGAGGCATTTTCTAAATTAAAATTCCCTCTACCCACGTATGTCTAGGTTTGTGTCAAGTTGAAAACAAAACAAACAGCACAGGGAGTTAGAATAGGATGTTGTAAAGCTCATAGTACTGCACCTTAGTTAATCTTTAGTTTTGTCTTTGAGACTGGATATCACTCTATAGCCCACAGTGGCCTCAAAGTCTTGGCCTCCTGGAGAGGGGATGAAATAGGTCAAGTTTCATCGGATTGTAGACAAACATTCCTTCAGTCATTAACATGCTAATGTGTGGCCTTGAATAGGAATCTGACCCAGATCAAGGAAGCAGGCACAGGACAAGAGCAGAGATGCCAAGCTTCCTCCTGCTCTGTTGCACAGTTGCCCAAGTGTCTGTACTTTAGCCAAACCCCTCTGAGTACTGTTCTACCCACGCCATTGTAGCAGAGGCAGGTGTGGTCCAGGTGCGGAGTGGACTTCTTCCCAGCTGCCTGGCCCCACCGGCTCCTCTAGGGACTGAGCGCGGCTCTGGCTTGTTAGGGAGAGCCTGCTGGAGGAGCCTCCTGAGGACCTGCAGCTCCAGCCAGCCCCTTTCTTGTCCCTCCTGTTGCTGTGTGAGTTTCTTCATTTGATCACTGGGTCTCCAGTGTGGAGGGAGGTTGGGGGCAGGGCCTGAGAGTGTGGAACTCCTGCCCACCTGGCTCCCGCAGAGCCATTCCCCGTGCATTAGTCTTTGGGAGAGATGGAATTCCTGGCCCTTTTAATGGGTTTTATTCAACAAGCTGGCACCTTGATGCGTAGAGACTGATCTGGGAAATACTTCATCCTGTCTTGCTACTATTTTAATCAGTGCTGCATTCAGACCTCAGTTAATTGATGCCTTAATCCTGGGTTTAATGCCGAGAGGCAGTTTTGTGACCTGTGAATATTTAAGGAGAAAAAAAAAAGATTGCACAAATAAATCTCTGCCTCGTATAGTTTTTGTCATTTCAGGCCTGTGGCAGCAGACTCCAGCTTCTGGTTCCAGGGTGAGGACTGTGATCCCTCATCTCCCCACGCACATGTTGGTGCCTCTGTATGGGGGGAGGTGGAGGGGCATGTGTGTGTGTGTGTTCTGTGTAGAGCAGTTGTGCGTGTGGCATGCTATGCCAGGTGTCTGCCTTCAGCGGCAGGAAGGC